TCGTGTGAACAGGAGGCTGAACATATCCGGTTCATCACCGGTCTCCCAGGAAGGGTCACCACGGCGCCTTGACGGAAAGCCGCTGTTCTGGAGTCTTTTGACTCGCGCATATGCACACTGATAGATTCGGCCAAGGGCAAGAGCAAAGACGAGGTCAGGAGAAGAGAATGTTGTATGTTGTTGTCTAATCTGGACACCACAGGGGGCCTGTCCTGAATCAAATCTTTGGCACCTCAGGGGGCTGCCTGGCAGGTACGTGGAATCAGCGCCCTGATTCCATATCACCATGCTGATGGAGCGTCTTCGTTGAGTGGCTGAATGGTGACTCCAACAGCACGCACCACTCCCCTGCAATCCTTTAGGGGTGAATTCGAGCTCTCTGAGCCTTCCCGCTCCGTCTCCAAGCCACATGCTGGCCAAAACGGATCTTGCAAGCACTGTGAGACACCGAAGACTTTGAGCTCTGAGCCTCTAGAGCGAAGAATCGAGCAGGCCCAAAAGTCAGGATTCCAGGGGGGTATCGCCTCTGAGCTCCGTAGGCGAACAGAAGTGCATCTGCCATACCATGTCGTGTTTCCGAGCTTCAGGTGGCTCAGCTTGGCGAGGCAGGCCCAGATTTTCATCATCGCAAATGGTAGTGCCCTTTGCTCTTGAGGTACGCTCTGGCACGACCTGGGTGGTCTTGATCAGCTCCGGGGAGGGACGGAGGAGCTCGAAGTCGCTGTAGAGCGGATCGCCTCATCCCAAGCCAAGGCAATCTCGTGTCTTGCTCAAGTTGAACTTGCTTTGCCTTGGCGGGTGTCGGGTTGCTTACCCCATACAGGATGCAAGTATCGGTGGCAGCATGGCATTGTTCTCCTTCAAGGAACTTTGTCTTCACGCTTTTCAGCCCTAGCCCCCATCTATGCCGGCATTCGGGACAAGACTGTAGGCAACTAAGAAGTGCATCTCAGTATGCCCGCCCACTGCCTTCCTGATTGTTTAGGGACCCCCGGCAGCTGCAGTCCCGCATCGTCGACAAAGGGCAGCGGTGACTTTCGAGGTCTTCCCCGAACAACTGTTTCGCACACTGGCAGGTGCGGAGTTGCGCCTTCTGTGAAGGCTTCGTGTACTGCTTTGTCTATCTTCCGCTGCCTGGGGAAAGCCTGTATTTGTTTGGGATCCCGCTTTCACAACCATGTAGCACACAGTCCGGGTCATCTCTGCGGTGTCCCCCATGATACGAGGGTCCATTTCGGCACCTAAGGCATGGAAAGACTTTCACTGATTCACAGGGGTGCCCCCTTCGGTTCGCTGACCATCGCGTGGGCAAACTTTTTATTCGCGGTTTCCCTGCCACTATCACAAACACGACGTAGGGGCTCTCCCCGGTCGTGGTAGAATTTGCGGGAAATCGAGCCTGTCACGTACTCCCGGGAGCGGGGTGCGCCCTTCTTATGGCACCAAGACGCCAGGGGCCACTATAACTCAAGCTTTCCCCCGCTCGAGGGACGTCCACCCGACAGACCTGCTGCTCCCAGCAGGCCCGAAGGGCCGCCCTCGAGCGCCCCCCCAGAGGAAAGCGCGGGGTCGACGTGAGCCAAAATGGCTACTCTCTCTCTCTCTCTCCCCGCGCCTTTCACCCTTTTTCGTGGATTTTTTCGGTCGAAGGAGCATTGGGGCTTGGACTGCACGGTGTTGCTTCCCCGCATTCTGTACGACCGATCGGTGTTGTTTGTCTGTCGCGGACCCAAACCTCCCCGAACTTTATTTCCAGGATCCCGGCCTCACCTCCGCGCTCTCTGCAGCTCTCTCTTTCTCTCTCTCTCTCTCTCTTTCTCTCTCTCTCTCTCTCTCTCTCTCTCTCCCTCTCTCGCTGAGCCTGTAATTAGCCTACCATGCATCCAGTATGGTATGGGTTCTTATCGGCAGCCACACCTGTCGACTCCGGAAGCAGTGGAATCTTCTCGCTTGCACAAAGCTGTCGAGACATGCTTCCGCAACACAAGTTTCCGCAGAAGTCTATATGCCACCAGACCAAAGCTGTACTTCTCGGAATCTGGAGGCCAAGGTCACCCAAAACGAATCACCCCCCCGGTCCTCGGCTCTTGGGGGCTCAAGCAAGCCACCAGCCAGGCGCCGATGGTGACTTGGACATATAGCAAAAGCTGCAACTGTCCGGGGCACAGCTTCGTAGCTCACATCTGAGGATTGCACTCAGCCAAGAGAATGCTCCGGTCTCAGTGTAAGTTCGCTTCTTCCAGTGCCCTGAAGACACGCTTGGACTGTGGTCCGAGTGCCGGACACTCGGCGACCGCACTCTTCAAATCGAACCTCTCCTGTGCAAAGAAGCCAAAGAAGCCGATGGTTGGTCTCGTCTCGCTGCTTGCGGTTGTGTGAAGCCCTTGCTGCATGGGGTCCAGCTGCGCGCGAGCCAAGTGGGGGTAGTCTGAAATCGGAGTTGGCCTTGCAAGTCTTCCAAGACAGCAAGGCATTGTCGTTGGCTTAGCAGCACTGCTCATTTGCTGGTTGACACCATTCGGGTCGCGGAAGTGCGTTAGGGACTGTGCGAGTCGAGCTTGCTGAGGCCACGACATGTTTCGGGCAGTGCTGCCTGGTGCCGCTGTGGAGTGGCTCCGAGTACAGTCTCTCTACCAGGTAACGGGATCGTTAGCTGCAAGCGCAGCAGGGGGCGTCGATTCGCAAACCATCATGATCGGGGAATGCTGTCGGGGATACGTCAGCTGTATAGCCTTGCCCTAGAAACCTGTGTCTCCGCTCCACTTATCCGGACATGGTCGCGGTTTCATCGGGTCCCGATAGATACCGCATTGAAAACAGTAAGATGACAGCAATGAGCACTGCTTAGCACTGGCTCCTGCGTTTTCCTGGCCCTTCGTTTACACTTCATCTCGTCGCCTGCGGAGCCATGCCAGCTGCTGGCCGTGGCCATGAGGACTCAACACACCTTTCTACCTGACCAAGTCCCTCAGCCGTTCAATTCCTTTCACTGGCTGAGGTGGACGGTTGTCTCAATCATCTGGACATTACATGGACGGATAATAGCCCTGCCGATTCAACGGCTTCTGCAACAGCATGAACTTGAGTAATTGTGAACAATTCTTACGCCAATATCTGATGCCACCTGACAAGCTGAGTCTTGTGCAATACACTGACATGGCTTCCGTCATTGTCGACCATGGAACATGTCCGAAAGCCACAGGGCTAACACTGAAGGAGGCAGCTGGAGCCAGCTGTGTTGCGCCTTTGTTCAAGGGCAAGGAAAATTCGTGAAGATCTGGTGGACCAACAGTATCCGTTAGGCACCAGGCGTTCCCTGCTACAGTGGCACGCATACCAGAAGTCTTTTCTGACTGCCACCGCTAGGCCAGGCTCGGCTTAGGAGCTTCGGCGGGCGCCGTCGATGCGACCCCGTCCAGCTCCGGAAAGCCCCAGACTAGTAAACGTACGTCTGCAGCTAGAAGCCGGATGAATCTGCGCTGCGTGACATCTGCAGTCACTTCGGAACGCTTGCAACAAACATAAACGCAAGAGATGCCAACTAATCTCCAGCACGCCGCAACGGCTAATGGGACTACTTATTTCGAAACTGTCCCAACGACTTGGTTCAAAGGTCTCACGAAGGGACAGTAGAAGTAGCTCTGCTAGCCAGAGGTCAGCAGCAAGTCCGCCATGCTGCGGTTTGATGACCTGCAGATCTTTCAACTGAAATGATGTTCAGCGTGCACATCAACATCAAGAATTCTGCGGTCACCCGCCACACTACTGGTCCGTTTGGGTTGTGCCTTTTTGCCTCCCACTTAGCAAGGAGCAAGGACAAAGCCCACATTACAGCGTGGTGGATGATGAATTAATGAATGGTGTTGGATTTGCAATTTAATCTTTCGGCCCGTTCAAGAAGGGATACGGCAAGCCTTCGACCTGTCCCGGAATCAGAAACAAACGGGGTCGGAATTCCAAGCCGTTGTTTCCTATCAGGCCGCTGCTCCTGCTGCGGCTACGACAACCACCACCACCATCACTGCAACAGACACTGCTTCCGTTCCTGAACCCTCCCTCGCCCTCATAAGTACCATCCCAATCCAGAAGAGCCTGTTCTGGATCCCGGCCTAAACCAGCTTTTCCTAGTCCTTCGGGGATTTGGGGGAGTTGATTATAGTCAAGTCAAGTCAGACATTCGCTCGATGTGCTGATGCTGCATGTGAACTGCATCGGGGGCGGGCAGTCTGCTTCCAGATCCACGACGAGGCATCTCCTGCAAAACGCGGACGGAGTCGGTGACAGCAACGAGTCAATGACAGCGATCGCATGGCGGTCCGAGGCAGTCGGCTTTGGCAGAAGCATGTGCCTCGGGCAGTCGGCTAAAGACACGCTGCTCCACAATGCAATTACAAGATATGGAGCTGAAACCCTATATCGAAAGCTGAGGGTGCTTCTTCTGGGTAGGCCCCATAAACTCCTTCCGCAGTGCCTCCTGATGGAAAGAGGGCAGCCTGCAAGTGTCGCCATCGAGCATCTGCTTTCTTCGGATTGCAGATTCATTTTCTGTCTCTCCCCTGCAACATCATGCGTCATTTCTCTGTCTCTCTCACGCTCTCTTGTGGACCCAGACGCCTGGCAGAAGCGGCGCTGATCACAGATTCAACGGCTGTGGGTGCTCTCTACTCCTGCAGAACAGCAGCTGCGCTTTTGTCTGCCGGCTCCGTTGTGGGCCCTTGAAGGCTCCGCGCAGGCCGCCGAGTCCGCTTGGACATCTTCGCAGGATGTCCATGCCACTGGAGGCACATTAAGGCTTTAACGCAATTGGCGCTTTGGCAAGCGCACGTGAGCTGCACACTACGAACGTTCAATCGATTCTGCCACAAGTTGGCTTGAGGACAGGTGTGGTCACCATGAGGAGCTTTCACGAGCCGGGGATTTGCCAACATGTGGACCCTTCGACGGGAAAAGTTTTTTTCACGGGAACTTGCCCGGAAAGCCTCTGTGAAAGGCTCGTGCTATTAGGACCTGCTCTCCAGCTGCGCCTCAGACAGTGTCAAGTCATCAGCCCGAGGTGGGGGAGGGTCCCAACAAGCACCAGGAATGCCGCTGCTTCTGGTATCGCAGCACCTCAGGCTCAAACATCGAATGCATCTGACGGGCGAGGGTCAAAAATCATTCCGGCCGATGTGCTCGACGCAGCAGCTGCCCAGCACTGGTGCTAGGGCAGTCAGAACGAGCGTCAGCCGTGCCCACCACCGGACATCTGGATTGCCTGGAGTAGCCGCGAAGCACTCGACGCCGTGCCCGAATTCGATTCACAATGCAATCATCAAGTCTTTCTCCTGACCATACAAGTACAAGCTGAGGCACAATTGCTATCAGTAGTGTGGGCGAACATGTAAGCGCCCACAATCAAAAGAACAAGCGTCGGCAGCACCAGGCACGTGTTCACCTTGGATGGCATCCCTGGTGATTCGAGATCTTTGAAAAGCGCCGCGGTTCCAAGCAGCTGCAGATAACGACAAACGTTTCTGAAATCTTGCCGGCGGCATGGTGAGCACATGCCCCGAGGGTCTCCTACAGGTGCAGGTCATTCCCTCAATGCCACATGGCCGTAATGCACCCTGTAGCGCAGTGATTCGGAGTAGTACTAGAGCAGTCCTCTTTAGCAACGTCCACCGGGTACTCTGACTGTTCTGAGCGGGCTTTTTGTCTTAGGCCTTAGCATTGCGTCACAGCCTGCCCAGGTTTGAGTTGATGATTCCCCGCAATACCAAGGGCCACGCGTGCATACGCCACAACCTCTGAATCCATGCCGAGGCATAGCATGAAGAAGCCTCGCACAACCACAAAAGAGTTTATAAGACTACCACCAGCAACGGCCCTCAATGTTGTGCCTGGCACCAACGAAAGGATCAAGCCGTGAATGAAGAGCCACGTCACGAGCGGTTGCCGGCACTCGGCATCCCACCTGACCATCTGCAATGCGTTCCGTTCCCAACAGCTCAGCGATACTCGCTTAATTTAGCAGAAAAACGAAAACCTCCAAGTTGCTTCGCAAGAGACTCAGCCAGAGCGGAGCACAGGGCAACGGCAGCTGGAATCGCGAGCAAGCCAGAAACCAGCCCGGCACCACCAAGGACACCAACCTGGACAAACAGATGCACGCTGAGAGAAGGCGACGCGAGATGGAAACCAAGGACACAGCCGCAAAGTGCTCATTCAAGGAGCCACATAGTTGCAAAGTGCGATGGGCATCACGCATTGGGTCAACAGAATGACTGCGACTTTTATCCTCAACTTCGGTTGGTCAAAGTTCCACACTTCCAGGCTTCGAAGATCAGCTTCACCACGCCACTAATGAATCATCGTGCCAGTGCAAACCAAGCCTCCTTAATTCTTCGCATGGTAGGAGCACGATAGGAGTGATGCCTGTTCCAGTGGTCGTGGTTGTTGTTGTGCTTGTTGTAGTGGTAGTTGTTGATGTTGTCGGCACATCAGGGTTGTAGTAGGTCACCTCGGAGATCAACAAAATCCAACGAACAGGGATTCAGCTTACCTCTCAGCAGCATGGCATTTAGTAGTGGCCAAGACTTCCACAACTTGCTGCTTCAAGCAAATGATGCTACAGTGCGAAGGTCTTCAAGCAAACAAAGTTCCAAGACAGATGTTTCCGCTGTGGGGCTACTGGCCGTGCATTCAGGCAGGGAGAGAAGGAACCGAACCGCGAACCGAAGAACCGGAACCGCCAGAACCGAGTGATAAAACCGGCCCGTCGAACCGAAATAGAACCCGAACCGTGAAAGGTTCCAGGTAGTTCCCTTCTACCTTTTTCTGCTCTTCTTTGCTTTTTTGCTACTTTTACGCTCTTTGTTGTTCTTGTTTTCTCTCTCTTCCCTTCTTTGGTCTTTGCTCTTCTTTGGTTTTTCTTTGCTGTTGACCCAAGAACGAAGCAAAGAAGAATGCCTGGAGTTACAGAACCGAAAATTTCTCCCCAGACGAGGCATTTCAAGTACGAAAGCGGGGATTGGCCCTGCCGCCAAGTTCAGCAGTGCCAAACCACCCAGAATTGCCCTAACACAATGTGTTAGGGGTTTGGCCCCTACTCAGGATGCCGCCAAGTTCAGCAGAGCCAAACCAACCAAAATCGCCCTAACACAGTGTTAGGGCGATTTTGGGGGGTTTGGCACCCAGCCAGGACCCCAAACGAGGCATTTCCATCACAAAACGGCGGTGTTTTGGCCCCTACTCAGGATGGGCCAAGTTCAGCGTAGCCAAACCAACCAAAATCGCCCTAACACAATGTGTTAGGGCGATTTTGGGGGGGTTTTGCACCCAGCCAGGCCCCCCAAACGAGGCATTTCCAGTACTAAAGTTGCAAAACAAACCAAGCCCAATCCAGCCAGGACCCCAAACGAGGCATTTCCAGCACAAAACGGTGTTTTGGCCCTACTCAGGATGCCGCCAAGTTCAGCAGAACCAAACCAACCAAAATCGCCCTAACACAATGTGTTAGGGCGATTTTTGGGGGGTTTTGCACCCAGCCAGGCCCCCAAACGAGGCATTTCCAGTACTAAAGTTGTAAAACAAACCAAGCCCACGGCCCGCACCCCAACGGAGGCATTTCGAGTTCTAAAGTTGTACTACAACCAAGCACACTCCAGACAGGACCTGTTAGTACCGACTAGACCGCGAAATGTTACGACTTGCTGTTTCGCTGTCTCGTGGGTCTGCCTTGATTTGCTGACACACGTTACCACTTCGGTAGTGCCTGGTAGTACAGGACACTTAGGTACCTGGAGGGAGGAAATTTGAGTGCGCTTGCAGGTTTTTCAAATTAGGGTGTGAGGCTTTCTTTCTGGAACCTTGCGAACGGCGAACCGAACCGTTCAGAGCCTTCCCTCAAAACCGAACCGCCGAACCGCACAGCAGAAACAGAAACCGTAACCGAACCGTCCGCTTGCTGTTCAGGGCTATCGGTGTAGCCACGGCCGACGAAAGGCAGCCGTTCGTGTGCACACTGTGCATCTCAACAGGCGAACCCAGGAATTAATTCGCATGCCGTAACTAAGCTTTCAGGTCATCAGCACAGGGATGAGTCCCCGTTTTCTGGTTGCCCAACGGGATGCTGCAAATCTTTGTCCAAGACGATCCCGCCTCGTAGCATCCAGAAGTTGCCCTGTGCCAACGGCATCCTCCCCCGAATTCCAGTTTGCACCCTGCAAAGATGATGCAGTGCCAGTTTGGCAGGCAAATCTTCTACGTCCAAGTCTTGAATTCACTGCCAACCCCCTGCCACATCACATTGAGTAGGTTGGCAGGCTTGCCCTATCCTGTCAGTGAATGCGCAGTCTGATTGTACTCCTGAGCCCGCATGTGACAGTTATCGTCGCGCCGTGTCTTGCCTTCAATTGCGCAGGTGAAGCCGTTCCGTGAGGTCTTCCATTCAACAGCGCTCCCCCAGCTCAGTGGCTACGACGGCGCTTAAAGGGACAGCCCGGTGGCAACGAGAACATCTCAAGTACAGAAAGCCGCGTCAGGTGAGGCTGCATAGTTGCATGTGCTGCGCACCTGCTTCTGCCCATGTACTGAGCATGCTGTGCGCAGTCCTTCTGCCACCGGTTTACACTCTGACGGTTCAGGTTCTACTCTATGGGCTCTAGGGTTTCGAGTCGAATGCTCAGTCTCTAGAGGGCTCCCACCGTGCTGCACGGTTTTGTCGTGTGCTTGTGGCTTGGGTGGCTTAGTGTGTGGGCTGAGGCCTTGGGAGGAAGGGTTTGAGGCTTCAGGCTCTTTGGCTTACTTGCGGTATGCACATCCTGCGGTGTGGTGGCCAGGTTTTAACTTTATGTACAGCGAGGAACTCGGAGCCATGTTTTTCGAAACTCACACCTGGATCCTCCATGCAAGGCTCGATACGACAGTCAGACAAGCCGGAACTGAAACAGGGATGTCGTGTAAGCTGCTAGAAATGCCAGAACCATGTACACAAACATTTAACCAAAACCCAATGAAGCCAAATCGAGGTAACGTGAGCAAAGCAGTCACAAACACTTCGCCGCACCGACTATGACATGTGACGCTGTGACGGTCATGCAAGCGTGCCGTCTCAGAAGCCGCAAACTGGAGGTGGGGTTGAATTGCTCGTGCACTCGTGCCCTAGACAACCAGGGCTGCCAGACATTATGCGGGCACTGTGTCAGGTGTCCCCATTTGCCGTCCAAGTCTGAAGCCGGGATTTCTAGCTCTGCTCAACAAGGCGGATCCCCATATCCCAACCAACCTGCTGCTGTAGAAAGGCAGGCGCTCATGCATGTAGAACAGGTTCATTCATTTGCACACACACACACACACACTTTCTGCTGTTGCATCGACCCGTCTGAGCACCAACTGTGTTTCTTGCACGTCCAAGAAGCCACACCCCAGACCACAAGCGCCAAAGCCGGCAGCCACAGACACTTGTTCAGGCCCTGCACAGTTCCGGCTTGCTGGCTTTGGGTAGCTCATTCACAGCTGATATGATGACTTCCCGTGCCTGCCTGCGCCTGCCCGCAGCAGACTAAAGAATAAAGCCCAGGCACACTCATGACCATCACCTTTGTTTGGCAGGCTACTGAATCACAGGCCAAAGCGTGTGATCTGTCCATGCTGCTGTCTTCCGGAAGGCAAATGCAAAACTGCGAGCCAACCACGATGATCCCATCAGCCATGAGCCAGGAGCGTAAGGATACCATAGTATCACACTCGTCATCCCAATGATTCTTGGCCAAGTTCACCTGCACTGGGGGGTCGGAGGAAAAACTTGGCTCGTCTGAAACATACGAGACATGGATACAGCGTAAGCGAGCGAAGAAAGACATGGTGCAAAGCTGCATCACCCAGTACCCAGTATCCATGTCTTGTATATAAAAAACCGGTGATACCAGTAGCCGAGGCCACGGCGGCCAGCACTGCAGGAACCAGGCTTCCAACGGAGAGCAAGCCTCCCCCTCAGCTTTCAGAAAGATGCTCCCCACCGCCCGGCCGGCCCTGGCAAAATTCCTGAGACCGCAACCTACGGTGAAGTCGCAGAACATTTTCCAGCAGGACGGAGTCTTGTCTGGTGTCTTCGGCAGGCCGCCTTCCTGGAGAATACACAAGTTGTCGGAGGAGGGAACAAGGCGTGACTCCCCGAGTAAGTATCCGACATATCCGACTTCGACTTCGGCTTGCATTGCGGAGACGGAGGATGATCAGGTTCAAGAGATTAAAGAGGACTGCCTGCAGACGCTCTGGTTAACAAGGCAGCTCCTCCAGCCCTAGTGTCCAGCAGATCCAGAGTCAAGGGCATGGGATCAATCGAATACTTCTGATCAGGGAATAGATCATACCAGTCGGGCCAAGACACAACTTAATGCGTCTATAAAAGTGAGCTTCAGTGTGGAAACTGCTGATTTTACCACTCCCCACAAGCCACCAAGCCGGTTCAGTACGACAGTATGTCCCCACAAGCTCGGGCGTCATCCACCGACAAACTAAAGGCGATGGCTCCTGCTGCATGTGCCGGTGGCTCGGCCACATGGCCGTTTTTGACATGAGCTGATACACACCATGTAAGTTGGATGTGGCGTGCCGTGGCGGCTGAAGGGCCACAGGGTCACCTGGCTGACAGTCTGCAAGGGGCGCCTCTGCAGCCGGCTCGGGCGCCAGATCTAAACCATGTCAAAACTACAGCATCTCGAACCGAAGGTGCTGCAAACGAGGCGGTTAACGGACACCAGCGGTGGTCCTTATCATGTTCCGCATGCTCATGCTTGTGGCCAGGCCTCTTGAGCCCCGTCTGGGGCAGCATTCGTGAGCACAGCGATGGAGTTCTGACCAAACCGCCTGCCAATCAATGTCTGCAAGAAGTGAAGGCTCCGCACCCTTCTTGACAGCTGAAGGGCAAAGACTCAGCATGCAAGCCCGCGCTCGTGTTCTCCCTTGTCCCCTTGCTTTCTCCATCTTGACAGTATGCGCAGGTTCTGAAGAAATCCAGCATCTCCAATTGCCAACGCGGCCCGGCGGGCTGCGTCGTGGCAGAGACAGACGGACAGTGCGGAACTGAGGTAAGGGCTCATCTCCTCTTCGGACGCCCTGAGGTCCGCCAGGAGCTCCTGTCTCCAAGCAACGGTCGCACTTCTCTCATGATAGTCAGAATGAAGATGGCACCAAATTCCTTGACGATCTCATCCATCACCTAGATACTTGGTGCTGGCGCTTCGGCTTGGAGCACAAGGACTCATTTGGGCAGCTCGCGAACTCGATCGCACAGGCGTTCTGAATCTCGGGTATGTGCCACCAAGTCTCCTTGAGGTGGGCTAGCAGCCAGACGGGCTAGAATTAGAACAACGAAGGAAAGTTAGCACGAAAGGCTGGGCCAAGCTTCCCATTCAGAAGCCTTGGTGTAGGTGCGCAGGACCTCGTCCGTGGGATTCTTCAACAGCTTCGGAAACTCCAAGAGACCGCGGCCTGGAGACGACTCCAGACCGAGAAACGCTCTGACTGCGCTCCGACTCGGCTAACTGCGGCGCGAGCCGTTGTAGATCGTGACATCACCCTGTGCAGGCTTCCGGCACAAGCAGCTCAAGCGGCACAGTCTGACAAGCTCCAGCCCGTACCTCGTACTCCTGGCAGGTGGCGGTCAGGAAACAGCCACCAATTCACGCTTTACGGATAATCCGATCATACCCCAACAAGTCCTGAACCACGAGAGCGATCAAAGTGTTGCCAACAGGTCTTAGCCAAGGATGGCGACCGCTTGCACCTCAGCAAATGCGGACGCGCAGACCCTGAACCCGCTCTTCCAAGGCAAGTGAAAGGCCGCAACCTCGAAACAGTTCCAGCATGCTCTGCAGATACTGCTTGATCTCGGCAGAGGCCATTGTCGTGAGATGTCTTCAAACAGACAAGTTCTGTAGTGTAGTTTAGTTCGCAATACGGTAGCCGGTAGCGATGCTCATAGCCGGCAGAAGGATAACACATCTTGAGATATCCGCACGGCAAGACTGATGATGACAGCCGCAAAAAGACAGCACAGACACAGCCTGAAAGTCTGAAACATCACATCGCATCACGGTCGAACCGCAGTCTTGCTGGCGAGGCTCCTCTCGCCGCAAGAACTGCGCAACGCGGAAAATGGGCCCCTTTTGGGAGCCAACCTCTTTCTTCAGAAACGCGCCAGAATGCGCCAAGCAAGCCTACACGCGGCTTGGCAAAAGGAGGCGGTTGTTTGCTAAGTTGCAAACGCCGCCTCCGGTGAGAAGCATCGCCTTCGATTTCAAGGTTGCCAGGACTGCCAGGAGAATCTGCAAGCAGCCTGTCTGGTTGAGCCTGCGGGTTGACCTGTGAGACGATGAAGTAGTTGACCTCGGCGAAGACCACTCAAGCTGCGGCGGTGTCGAAAAAGCTTAGCGGCTTAGCTGCAGCCGAAGGCTCGTTAAAAAGCTCAGCAAGTCGAGCCATTGGCAAATCCTCGGGTCTCCACAACAATCTCATGGGCGCATCTCCGCCTCCGCTTTGGAGCGCCGCCGATTGCATCGATCCGTCTTGCCACTTCAGGCCGCCTGTAGAGTTCTGACACTCATGCTGCCGCTGCGGTGCTTCAGGTCTCCTCTGCTCTCAAGCCTGACACGTACGGGACGATTTCCCCGAAGCGGTCTTTGGCCAAGAGCTCGCGTGACCTGTGAAGCTCATGACCGGAGCAACGCTAGCTCGCGGCGCAAAGCCAATGACAGGGTCCGTGCTCGAAGATGCCGGGCACTGCTGCAGAGCACTGCGCGGCTGACCAAACCTTTACAGTAAAAGATGCGACGATCTTTCGTTTCGGAGCGGACCAGCAAGCAGCAGCACACCTTTTTTCGAGTCTCTGCCATTCCGCCCAGGCTTGAGGAGCGCTTGTCAGCAGCTTCTGCCGGTGAGAAGCTGACATGTGGTCACGGTCATCGACTGCCTCGGCAATCAAGTCACGTCACGGACCCTGCTCCTCTGAAGCAACAAACTTCCTTGGCAGATCATGAACACAGATTGCATCTCACCGGACCGTACTGTGCTGGTATATAGGTCCGCATTCCGCTCATCCCACCCACCTCTTACCAAGGGAAGCACGGCTAGAACAGCACTTGCAAGTAAGGTACGTTCAAAATCAGTTCGAGGTCACGGGGCCTCAGCTCAGAGAAGTCGCGCTCAACGCTTCTTGTGAATTCCTGAAAGCCCTCATGACGCCCAGCTGTCTTCCATCACTTTCCGCCCTTCAAAACGTAAACTTGACACAACTGACAGAACCCACAACTTTCAACATCTAATGTGGTGGTATCAGAAATCTCTCCTACCACGCCTAAAGTATTCGGGGACTGAGTCGGCAGCAGTGCGACCTCAACATCAACGTGATCAGCTCCAGAGTGGAAAGCCAGTCGGCATCGGTGCAGAAAATTCCTTCAAGACGGGTCAGCGGCTGCACGGGCTGGAAAGTAAAGAGGCATGCAAACTAGGATTGCGGTCCTTTGACACCACGGTAGGGTGGCATTGAATGTGTCGGCAGCTGTGTATTTCCCATCGCACACCTTATGAACACGAGCCGCCGAGAGATCAAGCAACCCTCAAAATTGTTCCCCAAGCTAGGTGATCAAAGCACTGATCACACAGCAGTCAAGCTTGGACAATAAAACATCAAACACATGTTAACATGTACGACGTCTTGTCCTGTGCTGGGGCCGGTGGGGCGCGCTTAGCTGGTCACACCTGCCTCAGGCCTGCCTGTAATTGGCCTAAAGCATGCAACAAGATATGTTCTCCCCAGTTTCACGGCATAGCTGATGGAGGGGCACCCACTTATGAAGAGTCTGTTTTCTTCACAGCGACATTACTCGCTACTTCGGGACTGCTCGTCGCATCGCTGAGAAGTCAGCTTCATCACCACATGTGACCCCTGCACCCTTCGTGAACAACGGATATCATGTTTGCGACGGGAGCAGCCTATGGCCCTCGAAACGGGCCATCTTAGAAATGGCTTGGATTGGCCTCAGCGGGGGCTGATGGCAGTTGGTGGTCGTAGTTCGTTTCTGCCCTGTCAGTACAGAATCGCACTCCCGCCTTCATCCCCTCTATCCGGAGTTTGCCGCCCACCTCCATTCCTCCCACCATGCCAGCAAATTTCCACGATGAGTGGACGGGGCCCTGTCCACGCGGTTCAGAGTATGCCCCCCCCTTTCTGACCGGATTTCCATTGAAAGTGGCTCGACGGAACCACCCGCTCCTTTTCTGGCGAACATACCGACATGCATTTCTAGCTGAAAGCTCCACCCTCACCTACCATGCCCTTTCTTCGTTCTACCTTGAAAGATGCTTCTAGGGATTCTAGGGCCCCTCGGAAGGTGCACTGTTCGCGTTAGCGTTTAAACATACGTTGAAAGGTGGTTCTAGACGTGTCGCCGCCGCAGACGCTGAGATGTGACCAGTACGAACTTGCTTCAACCCACGCTGAAACCGTTACGGCTGCCATGCTTTACAGGGCTCATTGTGTGAGCCGCTAATATTCTTAAATCGAAGTGCTTACCTGACGCGCATCGCAGCCGCCCGAAACACCGACACGAGGGGCGAACATGTGGGCTTGGGGCCGGGTGGAAGGAGGCCGCTTCGCCCCTCCTCCTCGAGGGACGGACTGTTCCAGACCATTGACTATGTGACCAGCCGGTCTTCGTCTGCTTGAACACAACACACACACAACGACAACAACAACTAACCACACGAGCACCAGAAGTAGCAGAAGCAGAAGCAGCAGCAGCAGCAGCAGCAGTAGCAACAGCAGCGGTAACGGCTGCAGTAAAAGCAACAACAGCACAACAGCAACAGCATCGACACCGCCACCCAGCACCAGCATCGGCAGCAGCAGCAGCATCAGCAGCAAAATCAACAACAGCAGGAGAACCAGCATCAGCACCATCACCAGCACCACCACCCACGACGACGATGCCAACATTCTATCCAAACATCATGCTAAGGAAGCAGGATTCCGATGAGATAAGGCGCACAATAATTCATGTGGAGAGCACAAGTCAGTTTGCAGCTTATTACTGTTACTTTTCCTCACGCAGCACGCAGAAGTTGCAGCACAGCTTAAAACTATTTACATGGCGATGAAATAGTTAACTCTTTTGACGGAATGCCGCGGTCTGCATTGCAATCAACATCGGCTTGAAAGGGCCATGATGCATGGCCGTTTTTACTGGCATCAACAAGGTGCAAGGCTCGCCAGGATTATAACAGTCCGAGCATTCTAGCACGTTGGGTTCGCAAGAATTCGTGAATATGCTGCTATTTTATCCACCGGGCGAACTGTGGGAACCGCGTTCAGTTTGTAACTACATATATGTCAAATCCCCGGGATCATGGTCTGGACTGGGACATGACGGGCCCCAGCAGGTGTTAACAGGAACATGCGCGAGGTAAGGTCGATATTATGTATTCAGTATAAGGACAAGCCGTACTCTGCCTCTTACAAACCGGTGAGGTTTCATCACTCGGGCTATAGAAACACTGTCAAGAACATGCGTGCGGTATTGTCCTAAGAAGCGACAATTTATGTCGTCCACCATGAGAAGACGACATGCAGCATTTGCTGAGTGGGAGTTAGCTAGCCTTCGTTGGGGGCAATCATTCTATATGATAAAGAATTCAGAAATGCAGCACCCAAATGCCTTGGATACTCGAGCATCTATAGACAACCGCATAAAATGGATATTTCACGGAAAACTACGTTGCCAAAGTTTTGTACCAATGATGAAATCAGAGACTGAATTGAAATTGCGGCGTTGTACTACAACAAAGGAAAACTCGTAATTCTTAAATCTAGTTCGTTTCAAGGACCACAAACTTACAAGCACTGCTGCTAGGAAACTGGACACGCACAGGGTCCAGCACAATCACACAGGGATGAACTATGAGAGTGCATCGAGGGCTCCCAGGCTCCCAGCGTGGGTTTTAAAAACCACTAGCAGGGTTTCGACCGGGTTGCCGTAGCATTCATAACGTTGTGCGAGCTTCAGCCCGTCAGATTTCTGTACGTGGAGTGCAAGGGTTGTAGGTGCAAGTGATCAAGCTTTTGCATCGCTGGGTTGCTCGGTTTGTGTTTCTGTAAGGCGGTATATGTGTCGCCCCGAATGAGCATGGAAGCTTGCTGGGTTAGCTTTCAAACTAGGATTGCCGGGATGCCGAGAAACGCAGCGAATACACGGTCCCTGTAGTGGGGATGATGCGTGTTTGAACGAGCATCGCGAAAAACATCCATAACTATCCGTAGAATGTAGAATTCCGTAGACACTTAGATACTGAACATTGATGGGCTGTTTCGGGCACGCAGACATGTGCATGTAAATTCACCGGGTTTTACATGAGGGTCTCGACTCGACGGGGCAGGCACGGATTCAGGGCAGCAAGGGCCTACATACTATCAACTCTCTTCCTGGGTGGCAAAGCCAGTTGCGCGTTCAAAAATGTTGCAGCAGTGCAGAAATGCAGGGAGGATACCACAGAGCCCATAGTCATGTTCATACATATATAATATATATATATATATGTAATCTGATATGTGTCTGCGTGTGTGTGTGTGTGTGGGAACCTCTGTACCTAAGAATCTCTGAATCGCAATCCGATCCGATTAATGCAAGCAAGGGGATGGGACGTGCATCTGGGAATCCCATCCAACGAAGCTGCCCAGATGCATGGGATATCAAGCCCAGCCTTGGCGTACCCGCTTTTTCACATGAGTTCAGAGCTTTTCGATATGTTTTTCTTTCGTATAGCTATAAGAAGAAGGAAAACAACCTACAGATGTCAAACCTTGGGCAACCGCCACCTCTTCTTGAGGTGAGTCGGTCTACTTCCACATGACATGTGTGTTGTCGGTCGGTAATTTTGACAAAGTCCCGGCCGTGATAGTCTTCGGACCCGCCCTGCATATCCGCAGTGCTTCTTCTGTTCCACATCCTTATCCCACATCCTTATTCAGTCCTGAAGAAACCTTTTAACAGATCTTTGCTGATCTGACGCAACTTGATTACACACCCTAAGGCCACATTGGCGCTGATCAGTGTTAACTCGATCAGCAGCATCAATCCAATAAAGGCCTTCTGTGAAGGTGCTGAAGCTCTTAAGTTCTCTTTGTTGAAGGTACGCATTCTCCTAAAATCAAAAGCTGATCAGATTCCTCATCCGACCGGTCAATTAGTTCTAATGACCAGATCCCATTGACCAAGACTAGCAACAACTGATTCGACCTGTTGATCAGAACATCAGACCTCTGATCAGGTTCTCTTGATCAGATTTCTGTGATCAGATCAGGTGAGTGTTACATGTTCGATGAAGGATTCAGGCTCCAGCATCACGTTGAACATTGCCTCAAGACCACATCTCGTGTTATTCACGGATGATGTACTTCATCTAGAATGCATGTGTAAGGATCATTCCCACATATCTTCCAAGAAACCTCACAGTCATTCTATTGTCGCCAACCCGCAATGCCGAGTTTCCATTTCCAATTGTATGGACGAAGCCGAAGTCGATCAAGGAGCCGTCCACCTGCAAACCGCTTGATTGAGACTTGACCAACCGCATGGCTAGGCCCTAGACGATCGCAGATGTATGGTACATCGTTTATTGGAGAGCAACCCACGTCGTTGGCGTCTCAGGTCCCAGTGACAAACCCAGAGAATTACAGCACAGTCTGGAACGTGGTATCCTCTGTTCACAGCACCTTCACACCGAGAGCACCACAGGTCGCAGGTTGTGGGTCTACAGTATTCGCATCACTTTCAAATCCGGGTACCTGATTATCTGCCAGGTTCACAGCCCACTTTGCCCCAGCCATCATGGAATTGCAACCTACATTGCCGCAGCAGCCACAAGAACTACAGCCCTCCTGGCTTCCTCAAGACCTTGCGAGCTCTTCGAGTGGCGGTGCAAATTGCAGTATGGTTACAGGGACATATGACACTCCTGGACATACTGGGGATGCAAATTAATTGAAGCATACTCAGGATGTACAGCATGAGTGGCAACAAGCATGTTCAACATACATTGAACAAGACTGGCCGTAACTTGGAACATTAGCTGGTAAGACCGTCTATGTCCAATGGCCAAAGCTTGAGCCTGAGCAAGTTCGCAATCATAAGGGCAGGAAAGAATGGGTACAAGAAGTCATGAGTCAGACTATTCCAGCTTCTTTATGCAACCCAGTCAGAAATACGTTGTATGAAATCGTGTACCATGATGGTACGGCACATTCTATGCCTGAACAAGTTCTTGATCTTTTTACTCAAGCTGTTGCTGCAAGTGGCCAGGATGTACGCCAAATTGTACATTCTGGAAAGAGCTTCTACATAGAAGGCCGTAGCGTATGGTTCCTTCGTACAATGAACTTCCCATCAGCTACGTTCAACTTTCCAGGTTCACCGCAGCTAAATTGGTTGCCCTGCACCAACAAGCATGGAGTGTATGGAATACTTCCAGCTGGAGCAATCTTCCCTAGTTGCGCTGAAGGTATTATGCTGCCGATGTATGTTCCAGCTGTTGGTTTCTTTGCGCGAGTGCATTTCTCGTACTACGCCACTCCAGAGGAAGAAACCGCTCGATTTGCAGTCAAGATCTCATCAAGCTCCAAGAACACTTCCGGTGTAATGTTTGGTAGCAGCATTGCAGGTCCGTATCACAAGTTCAATGGAAGTAACACATGGAGGGAACAATTCCTTGGCTTGAGAGCAGGAGTTGTGAAAAGCAAAGCCAGCGATAAACGCTGGCTCGTGGGCACAGACATCGGTGCTGTACACTGGATTCTTCTTGTGCATGAGCATTGGAGCGAGTAGAATAGCCAAAGGAACAAAGTCGTTGTCTACAGAGCTAAAATCTTGAGCTAATCAGCTTTGAGACGCGATCGAACTTGATGTTGAGACGTTCGGTCGTGCATTTGACTGCTGTTTTAAGCAAAGCCGCCAAGCCCAACAGCTTTGGGACATGTTTGAGCATAATGTTGAGACCGTTCAGTCGTGCATTGACTGGTGCTTTAAGCAAAACCACCCAACCAATCAGCTTTGAGACATGTTTGTGCATGATGTCGAGACCGTTCCATCGTGCCTTCGACTGGTGCTTCAAGCAAAACCACCAAGCCAATCAGCTTTGAGACATATCCGAGCTTGATGTTGAGACCGTTCAGTCGTGCATGTGACTGGTGCTTTAAGCAAACCACCAAAGCCATCAGCTTTGAGACGTGTCCGAGCTTGTCGTTGACACCGTTCCGTCGTGCCTTTGACTGGTGCTTCAAGCAAAACCGCCCAGCCCATCAGCTTTGAAACGTGTCCGAGCTTGTCGTTGACACCGTTCCATCGTGCCTTTGACTGGTGCTTTAAGCAAAACCGCCCAGCCAATCAGCTTTGAGATATGTTCAATCGTTGATGTTGAAGCTTTTCAGTCGTGCAGTCGACTGGTGCGTTAAGCAAACCCGCCAGCAGTCTTGGATCTAGAAGCCTTCAAGATCTCGACAAAACCGTCCCCGCAGGTACTTACATGTATCCAAAGCGATCCTTTGCTGCCCAAGATTCGATTGTAGTATCAAATTTTCCCGGACCATCAACATGCCGTGGGGCGCGGGCTCTAGTAGGAAATCCGACTGGCAAGACCGTTCGTGGAACAACAGAGGCTCCGAAGGCCAGTGGAAAGATGCGTATCCAGGAGGTTACGAAGGCAGCGAACAGTGGGGCAAAATCGAAGGTCGTCGTTCCAGCAGTGAAATGCCAGCTAGTCCCCAGGGCAAAAGCCATGCTACGCAACTGCCTAGGAAGTTTGTTAGCGATCAAGACCACCTTGATAATCGTGAAATTTGCGGCAAGAAGCCTTTGACGGGAAAGTACAGTTGACAAGCTGGAGCCAAAAGTATAAGTTGGCCGGCAGACCGTTGGAGGATATTAAGCTCCACGAGCTAGCTTGGCAAGGATGGCAGAATTTTTTCCTTGCGCCATCTTTCTTTAGAATACTTTACATCGATTGTCTTTTGTCGGCGCATTTCTGAAACTGTCTTTGTGAATTCACTGCTAGGAGCCATTCGACTTTAGCCCGCGCTGTTGCTTGCCATGGTCCTACTTCTACATCTGCACCCCGGCTTCCCGTGTTGCCCGGTTCCAGGAGCAGTGGAAGTACAGAGGTAAAGTCCACACAAGAGCTACATGCGTTGGTCACGTTTCTCATTCAGCAGCTTGAACCCTTTGCAAGTGCAGTTGTCACTGAAAGTAAAAATGACAAGCGCATTAAAGATCTTGAGCAACAGCTAGCAACACAAAATGCAGGATGCAAGCAAGCCTCAGTTGACTTCTGATCCAAACATCGGGCCTCCAAGCAAGAGACGCCGTCTTGCTACCAAAACGTCTTCTATGGATATGTTTGAGGACAAGGTTTTGGATTTCAACACTAGCCAACAACAGGCCATTGGCTATGAATGCACCGTCCAGTATGACGTCCACTAACGTACGTAAGTGGTGGATGCAGTTGAGCCTCAATCCTTCGCAGAAGGATACGTTGAAGGCCATTCAAGCCCAAACTCAGCAGTGTCTCAACAAGCTTTCTGCTGAGCAGAAAGGCACACTTCAGGATCGAGCTTGTCAACTTGGTCTTCCAGTTTCAACGGCTACCAAAGCTAAAGCACTGGAGCTTGTACAAGTCATTTGCGCAGGCGTTTTGCTTGCTGATGGCTGACTAGGACCCATCGGAAATCCAGCATCAGAACCCCTAGACCTGCAAGAAATTCATTCATTCTTGTGGGCATTCATGTACATCTTGCAGGTTTGCTACAATGGTGATCAGGATCTTTATGGATTACGGGCCCCATCTAGAGTTCTTGCATCGTTTTGCTTGCTACACATTTTTCATTCATCCCTTAGCAAATGCAGCAACGTCAAGGCATGGAAGCTTCGCACAGGTCATTTTGTTGGGGTATCATTGATGCATTTACAGCGGTATTTCATCGAGCAGTTCGTGACCTATGCTTTGATACATCCAAAGCAGGGTTCCATTGAATTGGCAAACATGGTCAAGTGCTACAGACAGAAGCTGCGTACGTGGGCAGTACTACGGTGGGTTTACATTCAAGACAGGACAACCGCTGGCGCAAGATGAAGCTTTTGGAACGTGGAATACATGTCAACGCTGAGGTGGTCTTACATTATCTTCATACTCGTTGAGTTCTACATGAAGTCCTGTTAATTCCAGCTAGCATTGCTTCTGGAACCATTCCAGTACGAGCACAGGCATGTGAATTGATTCAAATTTGGCAACCGCGGATCTAAAAGCAATGCCCTGCACACGGCAGCTGTTGTTTTGTCTGCTACGCAGAGAGAGCTATAGTGTCACGTGTAAACCACTTGAAACAGAATGGGCAGCGGAATATACAAATGCTTACATGTGAGTATGCCACCATGCCATTGCTGTAAGTACCTACCCTTGAGGGTATTTCTGGATTCAAACAGACTCTAATTCTCTTTTACTGAAAGCATGGCCGGCACACTCACACGTATATCGTATATGCTTATTGCCCTGTCATCAAGTATGGTTTCGGAGTTGGGCTCATTTGAAACAAACATAATTACCTTTGGTATGTTACATAACATAATGCCTCTCACTCCCTTTTCGCTATGACTGCACGGTCGAAGAGATCTGCTCAGGTTCTAAGCGCTCAGAAAGAACGAATTATGCAATTGCTGCTTTCTATTCCTGTGGGAACCCTTGCAGCTTGTATCTCTTGTGAAAGAATGACCTATTCTTCTGGATGATTGTAACTGCGGGCAATCACATTCGGATGTGGCTCATCGGGATCGGAACCATTTTCTTCCTCTGATGAGGAGCAGATGCCCATCAACCGGTTTTCAGCTCTGTAGAAGGCAGGGTCTTCGTGCGTGAGATGGCTTGGACATCCCTTGACCTCTGGTGCACCTTGAGAGCTGGTTGACGCTGGAGAGTTTGCCTTGGGCTGTGACTGTCTCCGTCTTTCTCTTTTACTTTCTGAAGAATCCCATGACCTTTCCGACTCATCACCTGAGGGTGAAAGAGCATGTCTGTGACGATTGTCATAGGATGCATGTGTCGACGGTGACGGTGGTTGGTCATCATCGGATTCGTCCAATTCTGAACTCAGATCCGTAAACATTGCCTCCAGAGCATTGTGAAGGACAACGGCTTGATTGAGAGGGTTGTATGCAGATCTGCAGTTCGCGAGCAGAATTTCGACTCTTGATAGAGTATTGTTGTGATTCTGCACTTCCTCACATCGCTCTTGGTTTTCTCTCTCGATAGAGGCTCTGACAGCAGCTAGGATGCGGAGAACATCTGTATATTGAGCAAGCGGTATCCTCATTGTCATATCATCCATCACTTCAAAGGATGAGTCTGCAGGATTGGGGTTCCTGGTGAGAGAATCGATGGCAGGGGTGAATTCACCAGCACAGACATCTTCTTCCTCATATGTCTCTAGGTGCTGTCTTGTTCTCTCGATGTATGCGACTGCGGAGACGATGGTTGCATCGATAGAGTTCAGGTGTCCCATCAGATGACTCCGTGTTCCGTTTTCCTGATTGAGTCGAATGGCCTCAATGGCGTGGGTAGTAATATCCCGCTCTTGGGCTAATTGTGTTCTCTGTTGTGCACGTCGGATCTTCGGCTTGGTCTTCGGAATGCTCGACGCCTTCGGTGCAGTCCCTTGTGAGGGTATAGTGCTTTTTGGCGGTGGCTGTTTGGCAGGAGGTGCCTTGCCCTGTGGGGCAAGAGGTAGTACCGGTGCAGGAGAGGACGCACTTGAGAGTGCTGCTTGGCCTCTTGCCTTGGCACCTGCCTTGGGAGCAACAGAAGTGTGTGTCACTCCGAGTGCCTCGTCGGCCATCTGGGCATATATCGCGTCTTGAAACAGATTCCTCATGTGTGAGGTATTGCAAGGGTCGCCAGCTGTGGATAAAATCAAGCATCACAAACCCAAAGAGGTTCCAGGACGGAGTGTAATTGGCAGGAAACCCCGATGGTTTCTGTGTGGGAACCTCTGTACCTAAGGTCTCTGATTCGCAATCCGATCAGATTAACGCAAGCAGGGGGTGGGGCGTGCATCTGGGAATCCCATCCAACGAAGCTGCCCAGATGCATGGGATATCAAGCTTGGCCAGCTTGGCGTACCTGCTGTTTCACATGAGTTCAGAGCTTTTCGATATGTTTTTCTTTCGTATAGCGAAAGAGAACAACCTACAGATGTCAAGGCTTGGGCAACCGCCACCTCTTCTTGAGGTGAGTGGGTCTACTTCCACATGTGTGCGTTTGTGTGTGCGTGCATGTGTGTGTGTGTGTGTGTCTGTGCGAGTGCGCTACATGCATAATATAAGGCACTTCATTTATGTTGGAGTCTAAACTTGGTCTTGTATCGTTCCAAACATCAGGAATCACCAGAATCTGCTCGTCAAATCACCCCCCCCCAACCAGTATGGCCGAGGAACAACTGCATGCCCCAAATGAGCCGATTGCGTTCGAATCTGGTGACGTCTTCCCGTCCGTATGGAAAAAAGTAGCAAGCTCAAAGCCTCGATCTCCGGAGAGCAGAATGTGTTTTGCTCTTCGCACAACACAGCAAGAAGTATAAGTAGAGTGCCAAAGCTTGGGCCCGAGGCCTCTCCGTGTCGCGCACAGTGTGCCACGACCTTGAGATCCGAGACGGAGGTCTTCCCTTGCCCCACCTGAGAAGACATCAAAGAAACAGGGCGGGGAACAGGCCTGCCTCATTGTGACTCATGCTGCCATGTTCACTCCCTGGGCATCCCTGAACCGCTTGGACAAAGCACGAAACCGCGGAAAACCGCGAACGCCATGCCGGCCTTGCTCAGGGAAGACTCTCGTCGATTCCAAAAGATGTTGACACCGATGTGTTGCAGACCCACCGGCGCCCAGCCATAGCACAACGACACCTCAGCCAGCTAGCTCAGACGCGCAAACGGCCAGGCCGTGCCGCTTGCTTAGCTTTAGAAGAACCCCATGAACCAGATACTTTTCCGGGCCCAGGCGGCATATTCTCGTGCGAAGCCTCCGGTGACAAGCTGCTGCTGCAGGTCCCAGAAGGCCTTGTAAGTCAATGCGCAGGTGACCAGTCCCGAGCTCGGGATATCGAGACGATGAAGAAACCTGGAAAGACTGCGACTGTCACGCACACCTGCTCTGGGACTCTGGGCAGCCCCGGTGCCCGCGGGAATGCTGCGCGTCCATGATGATCGGGTGAGACCGCCGTTGAAAGAAGACCTGTCGAAGTCTTGTGTTTCGTTGAACTCTACGTTTAAAGTGTGCTGATCCAGCGCCTGCTGGTAGCTTGACAACAGACAATTCTCGCCCTCTTTCTCCAGTTCACCTGATGCAGCTGCGAGGCGACATAAGCCAAGGAGAAATCAAAGGGTCAAACATCTGCCGCAGCGCAACTGGTGCAGCCTGCCTTCTGTGTCCACTTTCCAGCCGGCTGGCTTGTGAAGGACGACTAAGCCAGAAGCTTCCCAAGCAATTCCTGCCAACTTGAACGACCTATCTGCGCGAGACGCCGCCAGCAAAGCATAGCAAAGCATGCCAGAAGTATCCTGGCTCGGAGGAAGCGATGACACCACCGCGAATCGCCCGACCGAAACATGCCTGGACATGCACATATGTCACACATGCTACTGCTACATGGACATGTCCTCGCGTTTGTGCCCGATAATTTCACAAGCCAGGTGCTGCAACCAAGCAGCAAAGATGCTTGAACTCCGCTGTGCATCAAGCTTTTCCTCGATTTCTGGAATTGTTCGTGACTACAATCTGCAATCTTGAGTTTCTCTCGAGCTCTATCGGTCGTGGACTTCCGATAAACTGAAAACTCGAGAAGCCCGCTCTGAGCCAAGCGTCACCGAAGCCTCGGAAAGCTTGTTGCGCTTGTGCCCGTGTTGGATCGGTCAAGATGCCGCTGAAATTCATTGCCCAGACCAGTCTCCTTTTCTGCCGGGAGGCTTTTTGGGAAAAGATTTCGGCAAGCATGCAGGATCTCGGGTCTGGCTCCGCTCCCTTCAGCCAGATTCTGAGCCTGGATCTGCCCCAGTGCTGGCGACGTGTCTCGAGAGCACATGTCATGCGACATGTGACAAGAACAAAATATGAATACACGCAAATTCATGAACCCCTGCCTCTGCCGGCCTGCCCTGCAAACGATATTGTATTCCATTAGTTAGAAATCCGTGTCACAATTCCACTACAATACAACTCCATTCCAACTCAGCTGCGAATCCGTCCGACGTTACCAATCCCATGACAACTCCGCAACAACTCAGAAATAACCCATTTTCTCCTGAGATGGTCAGCATGCTGCGTCATCCTGCTGGGCGAAGACATTTGTGCATCCAAGCCCTGATGCAGCCGCATCTGCACAGCCATGAACAAATCCTCCCGGGAGGCTCGGATCTCTTTTTGTGGGAGGAAACAGTTGGTGACCAGCAGTCGTGTCAAGTCCTTGCTGAAGACGCTGGAGATTGCAAAGGACCACACCAGATCTGAGAAGCCTTGTTCGGTAAAGTCGCCCAACATGCTTGTCGACTTCTGCGCGATCTTATGGAACAGATCTGCTGGCAAAATGTTGGCTGTGGCCTCGGGGCCGACAATCTGGGAGCCAAAGGAGGCAGAAACAAATGTCTACCCGTTGAACACATGGGTGGCTGTCAAAATTTGGCCCCTTTTTGGGTACCCCTTTTTTCATACGGCACCTAATATTTAGGGTAACAAGGGACCCTAATTCTGACAACCACCCACATGCGACCTGGGACTGAAACTCCGTAAAGCTGCAAATGCCCAGGCAGCGTAGCTGAGGTCACAGGCAGTGAACGAGTCCAGCCTGGACTTGGCAACACTTGCTGTTGACAGCCGCTGCGCCACAGAGCAAAGTATGGTTCAGTGTCTGCTGCATGCTGATCGGGCTCTGCCATCAAGGCTCTGTTGCTCCGCTTGCTGTGCAATCGCTGCAAAAGTGTCGACACAGCGAATGGAAGCCCTCGCCAGAGAGTATGACAAGTTGGCGAGCTCCACCTGGCAGAAGGCTGCAACCGCCCCCACCCAACACAAACTGTCAGTTGCATCGGACAGCTACGTAATGGAGCTTCGCTTGATTCATGCAAGCAGCGGGTTTGAAGTCCGCCATCTTCGCGACAGAACAACGACAAAGCTCACTCAAGAAGGGTTCTTGCTCCTCTTGCAGCCCCAGCTTGACGATGGACCACGCCAAGTTCGACAGTTCGATAGGCTTGCATCTTGACGCCGTCGCAGCGCCGCCCGAAAGGAGCGATTGGGTGAAGGACTGTAGCAGAGCTTTATCTCGCACTTGCGTCTTGGCACAAGACCACATCAAATCCGCAAGGTCCTGGAGGCTCAGCGACCGTTGCAGCTCTTGCACTGCCTGCTTGGCCACCCCGGCAATAGCAGTGCTCCCAGAAGAGGCACGAGCAAAGGACCATGTGAGTTGGACCAGGTCCTGCCATACACATGCTGTAACAAGTGCAATGCACTCCAAGCCGAAGACAAAAAAGTGGCTCCTTGGAATTAAATTGCGCCGGCGAGCTCTCAAATCTTGCAGCAGCTGCTGCAAGCCACTCCGCACAGGGCGCTTCTGCTGCAACCAATGCCCAGCTGAAGTTGCAAAGCTCCTGCTGGGAAAGTGGCAACCGGTTCTACCACGGTTGCTTGCTCCGCTTTGTTGCGATGCCTTGCTCATTCCGGTTTCGTGACTTTGGCAAACCTGAGGTTCCTCTGTTGCTAGGCTTGCTTTACTTTGCCTGTGCGACACCCAAAAGCATCGGTCTGAACATCACATTGGTCAGATGATCTCAGAGTCGCTGAGCGAACTGTCCAATACTTGCCGGGCAGGTGGGGTTTCGGTTTCGGTCTGTCCTGTGGCTTGAATTTGCTTGCCTGCTTTTGTGCACTCGCCGTCAGTCTCCTGAAGGTTTGCGCCAATTCTCCTGAGCCAATCAATTTTTGGAAAGTGCAGGCACAAACGTGCAAACATCTTCTTCGCATTTGTTGGCATAGTGACTCGAGCATCTGGTTCCATTTTAGTCTCCCTCTCCCAGAAGCCATCGCATCAACGAGCTTAGCTGAGCCTGGGATCTGGAACCCGCTCAACCCCTTCGAGTTGCCGTCTCACCTGACCTTCCTCCCAGGGTGCTGGAGACTGCTGGAGGAAACCTATTTATCATTTATCCATGCAGACTTTACATTGTCGCTAAATGCGCTACAAGTACCGTTCATACAGGCACTGGCGTATCTGCTTTGGTGATCTAGTTGGAATAGGGAATAGTAGCGAAAAGTTAGTTCCGGTTGCCTTGTGCTGCCAGCACAGTCTTAGCTGGACTCGATTGAGGTAGCACACCCGCGTCAAAGGCCGACAAAGCCGGAAAACCCACGATGACCCATGATCCGCAGCTTGTCAGCTCAGTACAGCTCAGTCTCTTCGGGTCAGCACCGTGGCCTCGGGGGCACCAGAATTTTTCTGATGCCTTCTGTAAGTCTTTCAATCTAAGCTCGACTGGACAACTTCTGCGCAAGGCGCTGAAGCAAATGCCCAGGCGATGTTGGCCAACTCTTGACACTTGAACTTCTCAGCTCCCGCCGCGGCCGGTGCCGCAAAGCTGATGGCCAACGGTCGAGTCAACATGCCTAAGCCAGTCTCGAGTTGCCGCTGCCGAAGCTGAGTCATTCGTTCCAAGTAGCTCCAACTACGCATGCTCAGAGGATGTATTGCAGTGCCCAAAAGTACTTCGTGGGGAGTGGCGAAGTGTGGTGAAAGACCAGGTCAAGTTGGCGAGTTCTCGCGCACCTCAGATGCCGGCAAGGCCACAAGTCGCAACTGCTGGTACCATCACACCACCCGGGTCAAAAAATGTTTCAGTTCCAGCCAGATCGCGGCATCGGTCGGCGAGCTCTTGGGCCCGGTCTCCGAGTCTTTGGCAGGCCCAGACATCAGCCATCGCCAATGTCGCTGCAGACCAGATCACACTGGACCTCGCAGCTCCGGGATTGGGCCTCTGCCTCTGTTGCCCCCGTCGTGGCCTACGTGCAGAGCGGACCGCAGCGAACCAGGGGTCTGGCAGGCCAGCGATGGACAACTCACTGCACTTCCCCGCCGCAGCAGCAAGCAAGGGCTGGGCCAGCCGACTGTGGAGCTTTAATGTGGCACAGGACCACAGACTCTGGGCTAAGTCCTGGGTTCCCATCGCGCATCGGAAGCTGTCCGCAACTGCATGCACGCACTCTTGCAAGCTTCAGCATGACCAGGTGTTCGTGCGAACGAGCCGCAACGGCGCCGAACTCTGCAGAGACCTGACGAATTCAACAGCGGATGCTGGTTGTTCTGCCGTTCTGCTGCTATTCGCTTGTGTAAAGGATCAGAGCCCGGCCTTTCCCAACAGCTCAGTTGCCAAGGTTGCAGCGTTTGTGGACTGCAGCTTTCCCAGAGCCCAGGCAGCATTTGCCATGTCCTCTTCGGGGCTCAAAACTTCAGGCAGTAGGCAGTGGCTAGAGACCCAGTGGCATCTTACAGTGTCTTGAGCGTGACGCCTTCGACTTCAGTTTGGATTTGAGACAGCAAGCATCTGCTCAGAAATGTATTCTGTCCTCAGTTCTAACGGCAAGGAGCTATTCGCATATACTGCGATTACACGTTGTTATCCACATGCCAGGCACAAGCCCGCTTTCGGTTTGGGTGGCTTCACTTTGATTCAACCGAAGCTTGGAAACACCACAGCACGAAGGGTGAGCAGGCTAGAGCTCATCAACCCTGCGTGCGGCAAGCAACTGAGTATTCGACTGGTATTCGAGAGGTGTTAAGTAGGAAGGCTGCTTGCGACGAAGATGCTTTTACAGCAAGGGCAAGCACGTGAATGCCAAGAAGTGATCCAGCGAAGACCAGAGTCCCCTTCATGTCGATCCCGTATGTTCCCGCATCAAGACTTAGCACTTTGAGCAGGCCTGAGGATTGGCGGTCTTCCTTTTCGTGAGCAACTGGATGCTGTCTTCAGCCAGTCTTCGTAGCCGTGCCTGGAACGCGACAGAAGTCAGCTAGAAACGCGATTGCCTCCGCAATCTGACCCAACATGCGCTTCCAGCTTCAGCGTTGAACCCTTTAAGTGCGATGCAGATGGTAACCGAAGATGCACTCGGGCAATGGATATTGCCATTCTGCTCAGAGTTCTGGCATCGACCTGGCTCGATTGAGCACGAGGCATTAGGCATGTGCTCCGTGGTCACAGCATGTCATAGCATGCTTGCGCCAGAGAGGAGCGTGGCTGTGTGGAACAACGGCGAGACAGAGCGGGCAAAGCTGCAGAAGATGCTAATGCCCGGCGAAGGTAAAGCGACCATGCAAAGCAATGCTCTTGGCCTCTGCGTCTGCATCGCGCAACAGGCCTGTGGAATCAAAATGCGGGATCGCTCAAACAGCTTGCAAATTGGGCCTTCCAGTGGATCTGCGAGCACGTCAATAGCTGCCCGGAGTTCATCCTCCGTGATGGATTGACTGACTTGGCCCAGCCGATAGAGCAGATTCTGAGCTCGTCCTTGCGGCGGGAGGAGGTTTGCCAAGAAGCTCATTCGGGCGTAGGGCTCAAGCGGCTTATCCCCAGCAGTGTTATGAGCACTTCTGGTTCCTCTTTCGAGTCGTCCGCCTGTGCGCAATTCAAGAAGGACGCCTTATGAGCGTGCACGGGCCGTCTATGAAGCGGATACAATAATGCATGTATATGCATGTCATATGTAGCCGGGAAACTCTGATCGGTGCTTCTCCGCGCAACACCTCGTGTCTTCCCCGCGCCGTAGCCAAAGACAACAGCCGGCCAAGCCACAAGCGACACCTGAGAGCTACAAACTTCACTCTTGCATTAATTAGACCATGCCCCGCCGCTTGGGGCCACTTTGCAAGCATGTGCAGACAGAAAGGCCTCGGCAGTTTGAACACCCCTGAACATAAAGGCCCGGTGATCAAGGCACCCTGTGCGGTCCAAGATTTGGCTGCGCACGCCCTGCTTCAAGGCCTCATTCTGCATGCTGGTCACGCGAAAGGGCGTGTGAGCAGAAGGCAAGGGGCCATGATGACCGTGCTGTGCAAATCTGTTCAAGCTGCAAGCAGCGATAAGATTGAGGAGAGGAGCTGGGTCCGGGTCCCGACTTGATCCTGTTACTTGCCGGCAAAACATGGAGAGCCATGGCAAGCACGCGGGCCACGAAAGGCTTGAGACATCTGCAGCATGGGATACAAAAAGTGAGGCTCGGATTGACACGTGGAAGGGTCCCGCACCAGCACATGTGGGCTGGTCAAGTAGTTCAGCAGCATTGGATACCTCAGGGCCGTGAGGCTCTGTCATACAGTGTCTCTGCGTTCCCGCCGCTGTGCATCGGTCGCGCCTCGTGTTGCCAGGGAGGCCACTCACCGTGATGTTGATGATGCGGCCGGTCCTTGTCCGGTGCTTTCAGCCTTCTCAATTAACATTTCACTTAAGTGTAATCACCTGTCCTGTCGAAGGCCTCCAAGAAAGTCAGATCACCCATGTTGTCCCTGCCACGCCGTCGATAGCAGGGATCTCAGCATGATGGCTCCGTCGACACCCCTCTTTCAATTCTCCGCTCCTGAGGATTCGCCCCAGGTGCTCGGAGGAATAAAGTTCCTGTCCTGTCTTCAGGAAGCGGCTCACGTCCTGCGAGGCAGGGACACGACATGGGCACGAGGCTCAGAGCAGAAATCCGTCTGCGAGGTTCCGTTCTGCACACTAAATTACCCATGCGCATGTCCAGGTCTCCGAAGAAATCCAAGCTGAAGTTCTGAGACCAGGAAAACGTATCCTGATGACAGGGCAGGCCGCCCGCCAGGCCGACACAAAGGCCATCAGTTCATCTTTGTCTGCTCTCAAATCTTGCAGAGCGACGTTCCACATCTCCATGAGTTCCTGGTTTGTGCGCAAGCCCACAGACGCCCGATCCGAATGGCAGTTGCTTGCAATCGCTAAGACGGGGACTGCATCGGTCCTCACGCCAAGCATTCCGCACCTTTCTTGCTTACGTATCTGGCTCAAACCAGACGGGCGGGGCTAGCGCTAGCTTCACTCATAGCTTCACTCTTCGCCGGCAACACAGCCCAATCCAATTCCCCACTCTTTGGTCAGAATCGTGCAGCCTGTGGCCCCATGAGGTCACACCGATCCAAGTGGGGAAAAGTATGGCACAAGTATCCGCTCACTTCGCCTCGCGACTGGCATAGCAGAGCTACGGCTAAAGGGCAACCTACGACACCCTCGATCCTTGCTGACAAAGACCCGCAGCCCGGACCGCTGTTAGAATCCCTTTCGGTCGGCGCTCAGGGCAGGGCACGATGGATCCGGCTGAAGTCCCACTCATGACACGTGGGAGCAGTCCGTTGAGGTGCAGCGCCTCCCAGATCGCATGGATTCAACGAAAGGGTCTACTGCACAGATCTGCGCAGAGCCGCCGAGCCGCCCAGCTCGGCAAGACAACAACCCAAGAAAGAGGAGAGAAGGAGATCAAGACAAGGATAAGGAGTCAGAGAGAGTCGAGTCCTTTCAACTTCGCAGGGCAGCTCCAAACGTTTTAAGCAGTGGAAAACCAGCCTCGGCAAGGATGTCGTGCTAACGACTTTTACGATTACAGAGCACACACGCAAAGACGACACGAGGCGATGCCGAAAACGCAAAGCATCTGCCAAGTTGCGTGGAAGGGATCAGCGATCGAAAGATTGCAATACCACTTGTTGACTTGTTGTGCAGTTGCTGCAAACTTCGACTTCTGCCACAACCTTCAGCTATGAGCCACCTGCCTTCACCACTCCGAAATGGTACATGCCCACCTGCCAGGGTCAAAGCCAAGTTCTTGCGGCCGGCAAGCTGATGCTAAGCTGCTGTTTGTGTGCGATGCTTTGCCATTGGACCGAAGCTTGTCCCGATGGGTCCACTCATGGGTACTGTCGCTTGTGCGAGACTCAGTTTTCCACCGATGCACCACCAGAGAGCAGAAGGGCACTGCGACCAAAGCCATGCTTGGTCCTGATTGTGCAGGTGCGCACAAAGAAGCCACTCGCTCACCATCTCCAACGAGACTTCGCTAGGCTCTGCTCTCGTTGAAGAAGGCCAAGCGTTCGTGAATCGCATCCTGCACGGCTTACCCGGACTCTGGCGCACCACAATCTGCAAACCAGCCTTCTTGGTCTGAAGATCCGTTCGAGTTGATGGGGAGTTGTAGGAAAATCCAACCCAAGCCATGGCCTGCAAGTACCGGTCGCGGTCTCGAGTCAGGTCCAGTCAAGTCATGAGAAACGTCTGGGTTGCCTCACACACCGTTGCCACGTATTCCTCTATGACGACTTTTGTGCCGGTGTTGCAAACCTCGTCAGTGCCAATGATGGCAGGGAAGGGACTGGCGCAGGTCAGGCAATCTTGCCTGGAAGAGTGCTGGATTGCAAATTCCGAAGTGCTTCCTCAGAAGCTCTCCACGCAAAGCCTCGATATGATCGGACTGGCTGAACAGCGACGCTTCGCCGTGCGACTGCTTTGCATGCGAAGGTAAAAATCGTATCTAGTGCCATGGAGCCCCTACATCCCTTTGACCCTCAGACACTTCGCGACGGATATGTAGCAAAAAACGACTCTCGCGTCGAGAGGCCGTACATGTTCGAGGCCTGATGCTGACGAGGGTCGTACATGCAAGCATCCACGTCGCCTCTTGCCTTGGGTGTGATGGGCGAGCGCCGAGAGTCCGAGACGCTTCACCAGTTCCGGAACCAAGCTATGGGCCATCATTTCTCGGTACCTCTTCGTACGCTCTCCTTGGTTGTGTTGCCCGGTTGCATGTGCATCTGTTTATGCTAGCTAACCAGAGCCACGTAAGTGCTGCGAATCGAAGAGTGGAGAATTGTCCTCACCTGTTCTATCTAGCAGTTCTGGAAATTGCTTTCTGAGTGTGAGCTGAGGCGAAAGCGCTTCCATTTGTCCTTTCCTTCTGCTTTGTCCAGCTTCTCCCCCAAGCTTTGGAAGGTCTTGTAGTCTGCACACTTCCTCATCGGTTTCACACACAACCTACTCTAGAGAATTACCACTTTCCCCTGCAAAGCTAGTCACCAGCACCGTTCATGGCTGCTTCATGCATCCGCAGATGACACCGGGAGCAGAGTAGGCCAGCCTCCTGGCTTGCTTCAACTCTTCCTTGTAGACCTTGCGAGACGTCGTGTAGAAGCTGGAGCGACTGAAACCGGTTATTGGGTGCGCATGGCCTTTCGACTGTTCGGGAGCGCAGTCTTGGCAGAAAGAGCCCGGAGCCATCTGCGTGTTCGCCAAAGCCTGGTGGAATCTTGCACAGCAGCTTCCTCAGGACTTCCTACATAAAACATATGCGTCCTCCACGGCAGCTACAACACAAAACTTAGATTCCTCTATCGCAGATCGGCAATAGCTCCCCAAGTGTTGCCCCAGACCAACCAAGCATTGCTGGGTTACCAGGTCCACGAGCCGCCGTGAGTGCGACGGTTTTGCCGGAAAGGCGTGCTTGCTGCAAACACTTGCGCCCCGGGGGGGGGGGGGGGGGGGGAATGTCGGCAAACGGTGGGGGCTCGGATATGGTCAGGACCCGTACAGCGACAGGCAAGGCACTCGGAGCCATGCAACCTGGTTACTGAGTTACTGCTGTGTTTTCCAGGCAGGGCAAATAAACAGTCCTAGCAGACCGTTTCCTCCTGGCTGGTCTTCATGGTTACGGTGAAGGCAAGGAGCGAAAGGACACAGAACAACCGCCCAGCCGGGAATCCGACGAGTGTCGCACAATGATCAGCACGGCCAGTGCCGCCAGCTGGCGCAAAAACACCTGTGAAGCCAAAGAATCGCAGTTCTATACGGGTGCCAGGCTCGATAGTACCTCTGGAGCTAGGACCCGCCAGCACAGCTTCAACCTGGGAAAAACATCTGAAAGGCGCAGGAAGCGAGAGCCATGCCCAAGCATGTTCATTCTCAGGAGCCCAGCGCTGTCAACAGTACACGAGCTGTGGCTGGCGAAGCGATGGACTTGGCAACAATCCTTACATCTCAAGCGCTGAAGGAAGAAAGGTTTAATCAAGCTTCATCGTAGCACGGAAAGTGCTGCACTGAGTGCTGCTGAGCTTCTCCATAGCAAGGGCAGCTCGTGGATTCTGGGCCTAGGGCCTAGGCCTATACCTTCGCTGTTGTACATGTTCTGAAAATGCTTACGACGTTACACATGCACCTTCGGCCGCCGCTTCCTGGCACAAAGGAATTCATCGGTCAAGTCTGCTCATAGCTTCTACAGCTTTCGAAGATGTACAAAGTCTAATCTTGCGGCGTTCTGTTTGTTTGGGGCTGCCAGGATGTCGAGGAGTTTCTGAGCGTCGGCTCCACGCTGTGTAAGGGCTTAACAGCTGCTTTAAGTTTCCGATGGTAGGGACTCGGGGTTCACTTGCATTGCCAGAGCTAGCAACGAGCCAACAAGCGACATCGCCCAAAGCTATTCGTGCAAAAACGGTGCAAATGTCGCCGAAGCATTCGAAGCTTTGACGAAGCTCACCTGTCCAACAGAGTCTCCATTTGCCTGGAATAAATAACTCACGCTGTGCTCTGCAATGTCCGGGACAGACAGGGCCAGACACTGTACTTTTCTGAATCTCAAGCAGCAAACCCAACACTCAACCAGACTTCAAAGCACCTTTTGCAGTCTGTCTCGGGCGACTTGGCTGGATTGACGTGAAAGCAGACTCAGGACTCCATCTATCTTTCTTGCAGAAGAGATTCGCGAGTGCTTGACACGAGAGGCACAAGGAGTCTGTGCACTTCTCGACATGGACCTGCGTTCTGTCCAGGTTCACTATACCTTCCATGATGCCACGGGCTTTGGTGACAGTGGCTCGCCCCCATCCGCGGCCATTGCGTCAGTTGAAGGAGTTGTTGGAGCCTCCAGGAACATGTCGCACAGAAGACGAGAAACAGCACCCCTCAGGATCGGAAGGCCCAGGCCGGTCCAGCGAGCCATGTATTCCATGCCCACACCAGGACCCACAGACCTGAGACGCATTCGCTGCTCGCTGCTCGACTTTACAAGAGGAGTGTTGACGATTGCTGCAAGCTTTAAGGGGATTTTATTGAGGACTTCGAGATGCATGCCGCTAGCTCTGCAACAGCATGAAAACTCCAAGCAAAGGGATGCGGCAGCTTGTGCTAAGCATTGGAACAGTAATTGGAACAGTCGACTCATCTGTGCATTTCTGGGCCGCATCTGCAGTAGTTCACTGAAGCAGACAAGCTTTACTCACTACTTCCTCGTTTAACTGTCCATCTGGCCAGTTACAAGAGATACTTCCACACGCGATCTAGAATGCGAACACACTGGCCAAAGTTGAGAAACTCTAGTGTAGCTTGGGTTTACCGATCAGCGCGGCAAGCGCAAATTTCATCTAGTTGCGCTAGACTTGTGCGTAAAACCAAATTCGTCTTCTGCACCAGTATCACACCGTGGTCTACTGTGATGCCAAAGCCTAAGCTCTAATCCAGCCTTGTGCTGGCCGATGGACCCCCGTGCAATTTCTGTGCATGGAGTTCGGTGGTAGTGAAGCCCACTGCATAGACACAGAAGCCGAACCAAAGGTGTTGGCATAAACTGCAGTCGCGACCGCCGACAGATTCGCGGAGCGGTGCGAAGGAAATGGAACTTGCGCCGCGTTTTGCGCATAGTGGTTCGACATGTGGCTGGATTTGATCGTATACCGTTGTGTAACAGGAAGGCTCCCCTCAAGTGGGCAGATGGCTTCATGGTGACTGTTTAGCGGCTAGTGGCTAGCGGAGGCCCAAGCCAGTGCCTTGAACTATCTTGGACTGATGTGCAATTTACACCACTCACCGGGGTGTAAGCTGCCCAACCAATTGCTTTTTCCCTCCCGCCCCGCTGACAGAGTCGCACTGTAGATTCGTCCGAACTGAAGACTGGGAATACAAGTCCTCGGGGCCCCTGAAGCTCCTCTCAGCGCAAACGCACCCCATGCTCACAAACATACGAACGGAGGAGATCAAGGGACATCGAACTCCTCGCAACCTAACCTGAAGGCACAGTAAAGAGGGTCAACTACCCCGAACGAGTTTCTAAGATGACTGTTTGGCAGGGTCTGAAAGGGGTTTGCTTGGTCCTTGCGCAGACGGCTCAACATTCTTGTCTGCAACGCATCATCTTATCAGAGTTCAGCGGACCTTCTGCAGCAATGCATTGTAAAGTCAGATATCTTAGGCATACAAAGTCGATAAGACGCCTCTTGCTGGCCTTAAGGAACAGGATGCCAACAAGGCCACGGTCTGTTCGAGGCCGAGCTCGCCACCCTTTCAGTCGTTTATCCTCTTTCGGCTTTGGTTCGAAGGCTCGACAATTCTTGTACCTGCATGTGGGATCCAGGGCCCTTGAAGTCATCTCAGTTGCGGGTCGTTGGCGCCTGTCGAAGAACTGCTGCGTGTAGCCTCCTCAGGCCACACGCGGCGCGGCTTCACTGTGTCGGTTCCTAATCTCGCACCAGAATAGACTCAAATAGACTTTGGTTCATGGCCGGTGCCACCCTCGTTCCAGTTTCGCCATCTGGCTCGCTCCTGCCGGAGTCATTAAGGCGAATGATGTTGCAGCAGAGCCCATGGTCGAATCGAATATTTGGCGCTTGCATGCTGTTGGTCTTGCTGTACATCGGCACACGCCACGCCCTATGCCGTCCTGCTGGCGCGTTACGCATGAAACGGCTGCATGGAAAACGGCTGAATTCTGTTCGACTGGTCTGTGCCTGCCTCGCGAGGCCGGACAGTCTTAAAAGTCTGGGCCTCGGGCCGCCCATGAAGCATCAGAGATTGGCGGGCCACTCTGATTACCTATTGGAGCCTGCACAAGCAAGCTCCATGAAGAGGCATCCTTAGCGGCTCTTTAAACACGAGCCTCAGAATTAATGCACTTAGGAGCAAGGGCACCTGCAGCCTTTGTGAGCAGCCTCTGGGCCCTACTTTAGGCCGTCGGGCTTTCAGACTGACGGAACGGTTTCGTGCCTTCAGTCTCCCATCTCTTTTACAGGTATCCGCATTGCCTCTGCCTGACACACATCCATGTGGCGTCGTGTCGAATCTGATAGAAGCTCAACATACAGGCACCTCGGCAAGATCCTGTTGGGCCTCTTCCGTCTCATGGGCCTGGCTGCATCGTGACCGCCCTCAGCCTCTTGTGAACTCGACAGGTGCGTTCCGGATGCATGATTGCTTTCTCTAAGGAGCTCGTCACTGGCTTGTGCAGGCCTCCAATTCAGTCTCAGCTTCTACCGAAACAGGCTCTTCACTGCCTCGCGGCGGTCAGGACGTTCGTCGTCGGCAGAAGCCTTGGCCCAGCAGTGCACTGTTGCGTAAAGGCACGGGCCTTGTGGAAAAGCTCTGAGCTTCTGTTTCGGGCGTGGTCGCAGATGCGTGACATGTTGGAACAACATTCAATCTACTTACGATGTGCTTCCGAATTGTGGTCGTTGTCGTCCAGTCCAGGTGAGCAGGAAGATCTGTGCAACTACGCAGCGCATCACCAAACTCCTGCTGCTAATGGACACGGCAAACTAACTTGCAAACGTTGCGAATGTGGAGACTTGGTCGGTCCCGGTCCCCGGTCCCCTCTTTGATGGTTATCGGGCACGCGAAGAGCTTCATAATATCATGGCGCGATAAACTGTACAAACCTGCATGAGGATTGGGCTCTCACTCTAGTCTCTCTCACTGCTACTCTAGCAGCAAATCACGAACGGCTCGAAAGCAAAGTTGCTTTCGCGCCCTCCCCTCTTTGTTTTCGTCCGCGTTCTTTTGGACAGTGCTCTGGCCTGTGGATCTCCCGTTCCACAAAGCATTGCAAGGACTTACCGGCAAAGCCGGCTGCCTTGGCGAATGCGCTAAGCAAAGTAGATGTCGACGAGCCACAAGAACCCTAAGGACAGAAGCTGCTTTTAGCCCAAACCGCAATCCCCCATCAGACCTCTCTCTTTCGTACTTTCTGCACGCCTCTTCCTAAGGCGGTTCAAGCGAAATGCCCCCTTCGCTTCCAATCGGCTCGCTCTGAGGTCGGTTGCTGTCATTTTGCAAAATGTTGTGGTTTCAGTTTTGTGGACAGGTGAGGCCGAGGCGTGGTCTGCGGCTCCTGCAGGCAAAGTACAGATGCGTGCCGTTCAATGCTAACTCCGCATGAGTCCGCGTCGACCCAAAACTTTGTTCCGGTCGATAAAATCTCTGAACGCGACACGTGAGCCCTGCAAATAAGCGGTGCCCAACCTTCTTCTTGCTCGTCCTTCTGTTGTGCCGCCTCCTTTCGAGGCAATGCCACCCTTATCCGCCCAGGGCCCTGCAGAACAGAACAGTTGACCCGACGTCCGGAACCTCCACGGCCCGGAGTTCCACCTGAAGCTAGAGTCAGCCAGAGCTGGGCATGTTGTATCTCTGACTCTCGCTCTGCTGGTGCGGGCCTGGAGCGCAAAAACTGGAACGGTCCGGTCTGGTTTGCATCTTTAGTTAGCCTGCATGTAACCTCATCATGTCAATGTGCTATAGGCGGCCTGGTGATGTGAAGGGCAAGCCCCCACCAAGGAATTTCAGATATCAAAAACATGCAACTTGTGACACTGTCTCAAGGCTTCACACCACTCCGGTATTGGCCAAAGGACGACAGGCACTAGCTGATGGCCTCGAGTTCATTAACGAGTTTGAAATCTGAAAGCGCAGACTTCCAGCTCCAGCTTACTGCAAGAAATTGTCCGCTCCGGGGTGCAACCCAACGTTGGTGTCTGCCTTGCATTGCCGACCGCTTACTTGTCCTTTCTGGCGGCACGAGACGGAACGGCTATGCAAATTCACGATCGCTCCAAGGAGACGTCACAAAGCACCTCTTCTTCGGCAGGCGATTCGGTGATCGTTCGCGGATATTTCCGCGTATTCAAGCATTCATTATGGTCGTTGGGTGTTTTCGTCCAGCATCCGGCTTTGCGAGGGATTTGTCTACGAGTACCACCAATTTATGCTGTGTTCGTTCACACGGGAAGGTAGAGCCCGCGCCATGACATGACCACGTGTTCTGTCACTGCCACAGCTGGTGCATAAATTTTGGGAACTTGCTGCTCAAGAACGGCATGTCATGTGGAGCTGAGCAGAATCATTAAAACTGATCTTTCAAGTAGGGCTATGGTAAAGCTTGACTAGTCTGCATCGCGTTTTGGAGTGCGGCAACAAACAAACAGTGCAAGCCCGTGATCTGCAAGACCTCAAGGCACATCGGACGGTGGCGGTGGTTTCACAAAGACTGGGATGCGGCGCATCCTTGCAGGCTACGGAGGAAACTCTTCATCTTGCCTACATCCACAAACCTGAGAGACTGCTGCAAGGTCTAATGCTCGAGCTCCGAGACTGTGCTATCGCTGCTATCGTGATTCCGTGCCTCTGCTGCCTCCAATGCATCTGCGAGCGTGCGGTGCTCACCTTCCGCCTGGCAGATCTTCCAAAGCGCACTTGAGACTCGCTTTCACTGGGGACCGGACCTCCATGCTGTCGTGTTGCACCTGCATGGCGTGTCAAGCTTTGCCCAGCACCCGTCGCTTCAGAATTCTACACCTGGCTGGAGAATTCTGGCAGCTCCGCCTCTGCGTCAGCTAGTTCCTTGTGCTGGCTTTCGACGACCTCTCTGGGTCTCAAGTGATAAGACAGTCTGCGCTTGAAGAACAACACGTGACAAAGTCCTAAGTCCTAGGCCCTACAGTAGGCAAGAACCAGCTTTGTTTGAAAAACGTCACAGACAGAGAGGGGGCAGCGAACTGGCCCTCGCAGGTTGGAAACTTCACTTGGGCAGGCACGTCTCTGTCGTGGTCGCCAGACGAATAGTCAAGCCTGTTCTACACACACTCATGCACAGCTGCTAGAGCCTCAAGCGTGCCAAGCAAAAAAGTTCGTGCCATGTCATCTTGATGCCATGAGCGCGCGGAGCAAATCTGAGCAAGCAGCATCTCCTCTTCCGCGGCCTTATCCCACTGTGCTGCAGCGACTCCATAGACCTGACCACGCGCTTTGCGGCGAGTTGGGTCAGTGCCTGCAGCACTGCAGCACCCCAGGCATAGGCCATCGGATCAACATCTTCCGGAAGAGCCTGTGTGATGACGCCAGTGCACGGACTGCTTGCCATGAAAAGAAGCACAGCCTGGCCTGGCCGGTTCGCACATCCATGCTTTTTTGGATTACCTGCCAGTCAGCCACGCTTTCCAGTCTTTGCCCTGCACAGCCCTGCTCGCCTGCTCCAGCAACTGCTTCTGCTTCTCCTTTGCGTGCTGAATATCTTTGGCGGCCTTGGCCTGTTCCTGCCAACTCGAGACTCAAAGATCGTTTTTTTGTGTCAGCGTCGCAGAAGCCTCCTGTTCCTGACTCAGCTCTCTCTCGCGCCTTATCAACATGTGCGGTCTCTACAATTCCAGTCACCGTCTAGCAAGTCAGGCTTATCCTGACCCGGGAAAGCAAACGCCAACGAACTCAGGGCAACTCTGCTTGATGTCTTTCTCCCGTTGACGCAAAACCTGTCCCAGGTCAGAAGCAGCATGCAGCATTCTCTTCAGCAAAGTGGGTAATGGATAAAATGGCAGCAGAAGTACCAGCTGTGGCAACATCCTCGGATTTTGCCGTTATGGAGGCTTGCGAGCCTTCAACACGCATTCAATTTATACCTGCCACAATTGATTCTGGGGAAGCTGTTCGGTGCAACTCTTTCCTTTGTAATTGGTGAGATCTAAGCCAGGAGATCTCTGCTTTTATAGGACTGGCACAAGCAAGCCGCCACGGCAGAAGAAGATAGAAGGAGACAACTCTTGCGTGGAAGGTGTGTGCATGCTTGTATGTGTGTGTGGACTTTCTTGAGTCACTATGCCAAACAGCCTACACCCAAAAGGGTGCATTCTGGCGGCCTCCTCGCGGGACTCGAGCTGCGATTCACGAGCACTGCTGAAAGGCTCCTTGAGGCTGGGGGAATCTCTACGCAGCAGACTCGACTCGATCCCGGCGGCAATGGCTCGGGAATAAGGCGTTGTCTGAGAATATCTGACCAAAGGGCACAGCCCTGGTGCCTGCAGCTGCATCGATGTGCTTCCTGGTTGTCTCCCTTTCATTTTAACCAGCACAAACCAAATGTGCCTGGCCTCCAGCTTGTGGATTTCCTAGCATACGATCGGCTATCTGCTTCTCACGTCAAGACACCAAGACCTAGTGCCGTTCCGCAAATGCAGTCAGGCCGCGATCTGTTATGGACGCAAAAGCAGCATCATGCCTCGCAGAAGGAGCAACCCAATGGACGCAGCCATCACGCTTTTCAAGCTAGTGCAAAGAATCTCTGAGTCTGCAACTTATAAACAATCTGCGAACAACGCTCAAGAACCTTGAGTGCCAGCACAGCACCGAGCATGGTTTAAGATGCAGCACCATCGGTCAGGAGTGCTGAAGTGTTAAAGATCATCCTGACTGTCTCAGCAGGGACGGCACGGACTGCTGGATAGCAGTGTAAGACGCCAGTCGAATGCCCTGCCATGCCGAAGTTACGGCACTATCTGGCAAGCCCAAAAATTTCCGAATGTTGCCTCGATGCTGGGCTTCGTGTAGCAAGAAAGCCAGATGGTCGCCTTTCAAGGGTTTTGGATCTTGCATGGTGGCACTAGCCACTTTCCGCCAGCCCCTCAGCTCAGTTTCGGAAAAGGCCCTGGCAGAGTACTCGCCCAAACCCCGCCAGCGTACCAAGCGATGCCTCAGCTTGTTCATGTCTGTGTCCCTCAAGCTGAACCGCCCTAGCAAGTCCGATGCTGGATATTGTCAATATCTTCGTGCTCATTGATCATCTCCTAACAGGATGTCACAAGCCGGCGGCGAAAAGGGCAGGGGGCACTGCGGAAGCTCCTGCATGTCGCGAACGATCTGGGGGATGTTCGGGATGTCACGGAGTCTGTCCAAAGACTGGTCCGCATGTGCATGGCCTGGCCCGGCCTGTTTCAACTCATGATCAGCAAACCTGGCCTGAGGTTTAGGTCGTACTTGATTCGGCGATGTGTCATTCGGGAGTTGTTCTGCACATTCATCGACCTCGACCGGCAAAAACTGAAAATAACTGCTTCGACAGGTAGGACCGAGCATCTGTTATCGAGGCACCGACATCAGCTTATAATTTGGTACATAGATGGGACGCTTGTCCCACTGAACCACCTGGCGCGCGTCCAAGCGTTCAGTCACGTAAACAACAACTGTCTCTTGCAAGCGGTTGGACCTTCGTGTAGAAACTTCCCACGTCTTGGACCCATCCGTCCTGCCACAGGAACAGGAGATTGATGCACGCTCAGGCAAACGCAAGTGCTGGCACACGGCATTCCATCGACAGCAAGGCCGAGCCATGCCGAGCCCCGGGAAACATAATCCACTCCAGCCAACTCATGCCCAGGGTTCGATGGATGTACCATCCAGACACACCCAATCGCCTGCACAATGCAGGAGAAAAACTAGTCTTGGCCAGGGGGTGTGACTGGATGCATCAAGAAAGCCTAGGCATGCAAGATGTATCACTTCAGTTCAGAAGCACGAATCACTTGCGCAACCTTGTGCAAAAGGCTGCGTCAAGTGTAGCACAACGCCACTGATCCTCGGTGTGCACAAGTAGCAGAGTGTGCCTGGGTGTCTGCCCAAATCTTGCATGCAAATTGCTACAACAAGCCGAGAATCATGTTGGCAACGATCTCGCGGCCAACCCACCCTGGGCAAAGAGTATGGCAGCCGCCGAGCAGCAAGATTTTGACAGCTCGCAGGCCATAAGACCCAACCGAGATTTCGAGCTGATAGAGCAAATTGGCGGGCTCCAGCTTCCTCTATTGCCACTGGGAACATGAAGCCATGTCAGGCTGCGTTCCGTCGACGGGGTGATGTTTGATCCATAATTCGCGTGGGTCCAGTATGTCGGTATAATTATGCGGGGATCTGTGGGAAATCGCGGCATTGTATGCTGAGTGCCCCGGCCGATCACCACTGCAGTGGTTCCCGGAATCCTGTCAAAAGCGGAAGCATGGATTCAATTATACTGTAAAAAAGCTACAACTCCACAGGGCCCCACAGCAGCAATCGACCAATCCGGACACCAGCATGGTAAAGCCTTGAGTAGCAGCGGCATAGAAAAGTTTAATCGCAGTGACGGTGGCTGGGGGCAGGGCACTGCACAAATGTAAATGCTCCAAACAAGAACCTGCGTTGCACAGGGTGGGCTTGTTGCGCATAGGGCTGTGCCAAAGCCGGGCCTTCAATGCAGTCGCCATGGCATTAATGCGAGCTTCCTGCAAGCTTGACCTGCAGCAAGCAGCAGCTGTGTTCTCCTTCAATCTCTGACATCAATTCGAATTACTCCTCTCAGCTCTTTCATGGCTTGGGCTGCTGCTGTACACCCATCACGTCGCTAAGTTCCGCTCTACCGCGGGAGCGGCGGTTCCCCCACCTCGGTACCAACATCTGTACCAGGCTCCAGCAGTTATACCGTATACCTTCCCACTGCCCGGGCCACTCCCCAAGGCCGGTGCTGCACCAAGTGCTGCCAACATGATTTTGATAAGTCCATATAAGTAGTCCTCGTTGCCTCCACACCTTCCGTCAACTTGCCTCTTGCGCACAGCTGTCGACTGCTCGACGGATGAAGCACCAGCCCACTGCCAGGTAGACAAACACAACGACAATCCGACTGCCGACCGACGGGGGGAAGTTGTCGCAGCTCTCAGCCCCGAACAGTCGAACTAGGCGGTGCGAGAACCTGATTTTCAGAAGAGCTTCGCAGCAGTGCAGGGACGTCTCCATGATCTGGGAGCAAGACCATGCAACAGCCGTCCAGCTGGGGATGACCTGGAGCCTGGCGTCTGACGGAGACGTAGACGGCTGCTGACTGCTGCATCTCACTGCACGGTTTAACAGTTTAGCTTTGCTGGGAACCCCAAACCGTCGATTGGTGCTCAAAGCCTCTGAGCTTCAGGCTTCCCAAAGGCCGCCCGATAAAATGCAAACTCTCGCCTGGACCTTACCGTGCGATGGACCACAAGTACCGCAGATGCACCATGTAGAGCAGCGCAGATAGGCTTTACGTCACACGATTGAGCACGATTCTGTCATCGGTGTCTCAGGAGGTGACCACATGTCAAGGAGAGGGTCTTGCAGCGCTTGAAGGGCAAGGGTCGACCTGGGATCAAAAGAAGATTAGACGAGTGGGTCGACTGTGTAGATAAGCTCACTGCCAGCCCCACATCAACAGCGGACCTGTTGCACCCCCCATCCATCGATAGCTCACATTGCATTGACTTGGCAGGTGCTGTTGGGCTGCAGCAGATTTCGGATCATATTGGGCAACTCATCAGAAACACTCCCTGCCTTGAGCTCTTCGTAGGACTTCGAGAGATATGTCCCAGATGCGCTTCCTCCGAATTTCGACGCTAGATGCTACGCTCGTCTACATCATCTCTGCGAATGCTCTGCTGCTTATGGTCAAAGGTGCTGCATTATCCTCCGTTTGTAGACAATGCGAAGAATGCGGGCCGTTTGAATTGCATTGGCTCCTGCAAGAAAAATATGACGATTAGAGCCCTTCTTCGGGCAAGAGCAAAATTGGAAATCGGGATTGTTGAAACTCCGAAATCCATTGATACCGACATCAGCACAAGCAAGAATGTGCCGAGACTTGACGAGGCACCAATGTTTCCATTGCCGCGAAGACATCCAGCCACGCCTCGCATGCCCCGTCTTCGCCCGACATGATACCTAAATGGATCCTCCAAGGTCCTCTTTATTATCACCCCTTTGGGCTTCTCGCCTTTCAGATTTGTCAGGCGGTGGCCGAGTTCTCACCGTCAATGGCGGCTCAGCTCCCTGGATCTCCTGGACTGGAGTTCATCGGTTCATCGCTCTGACCATCGCTCGGCAGGAAGGGGTCCTTCCAGGAGTTCAAGACCTCGGAGGCAAGGACAGCTCGGCTCTTCTGTGCTGCTTAACCCGCACGGCCGACCTTGGTTCCTTCCAGAATCTTGGCACTCTCCAACTCCAAGTCGCTTTGAAGGACAGGGCCTTCCTCCAAAGCTTCCTGACAAAAGCCCGAGGCTCTTCGTCACTTGAATGTCAGGATATAGTGCTGCCGATGCCTTTAAAGAATAAATTTCATCAGCCGAAAGCAGCCTTGGCAGCTAATTCGGCAGCAGAGGCGCCGCGCATGCAAAGAACCTCACCGTTCTCACTTTGCTGGGTGTCGGGCTTGAGCTTCTTTGCGGACAGATGTCTCCAGAGCCGGCGCCTCAAATAGGCCACGGCATGCTGGCTGGGTATCGCTGGGTCCAGGTTTCGGTTCCCGGTCTTTGTTCCCAGCTCTGTTCCCTCAGGGCGCAGCTTGATAGTGTCAAGTGCGGCGGTTTGATCTGATTTACTTTGAACCATGCAGATGCTCCTGCAGAGAAAGCAGGGGTCTCATTCTCAGGGTTTCTAAGGCGGCAGCACAGCCGTGCAAACCTGAGTCTCTGAGAAGCTGCCTCACCGACTGTTGGATTTAATCTCCAGCTTTGAGGTGCGAACGCGAGGTACCAATCGGTACTGCACAACGAGAAGTAGGACAACCTCGGGCTGTGGCGATTTGATTCCGAGTAAATATCAACTTCCGCAGATGACTGAGACCGAAAGACCGAAGGGCGCACGCTGGGTGTCAGAGTCATGCCATGCTTCTGAGACTTTGGCTTTTGTCCACCTGACTGTCAGTGTCCTGCAAGAGGCTGCTAGTAGCAGCAAGCAGTGAAGCTTTGAAACTAGGCCACATGGGCGAAGGCAGCGAAGTTGAGGTCGAGACCTCACTGCCTTCTTGGCTGCAGGACCTGGAATTGCTGCCAGCGAGCCTGACAGCCACCGTGCCGTGCTCACACTGTGATACCGCTCGTAACTGCGGCAAAGGCTGAGGGCATGTCCTTCCAAATGACGCCGAGCTACAAGCGAACGCCTCCAACTTGAAAGCACGCATGGTGACCCACAAGAATTCTCACAACCATGCCAGAAGTGGAGGCCTGAGAGGTTGAGACAAACGATTTTGCCCGACGAATGTATGTCATCCAGTCAGGCCGCTCTATTGCAGATCTGCGATCAAGCTACTTGCCTGGCCTGTACCTGATACAGGACGTCGGTACTTTTGAAATGGCTTCATTCGTATTCTACGAATGCCGGCACCTGTTCAAATCTTCCCTACAATGCACATTCTTCCATATTCCTACCTTCGAAGCAGCTGTGAAGACACAAGTAACCAAGAAACGAGCCGCTAGTCAAACGTCTCAGCAGTCTTTTCCGATCTCCATTCTAGGAGGAAGCGGCTGCAGTGCATTCGGGAGGATAAGGAACCGCCATCCGGGCAGCATGACAATGACCTTAGCCATGCAGCCACTTGCGTGGCGTTGGAAAGGCGAGGTGCCGGAAGCAGCGCATGCAGCACATTCCTCACATGTGCTGCGCTCGCCCACTTGCCGTCACGCTCTCGGGCTGTTATTGCAAACTCAGGGGCGAGAGCTGCACATACGGCAATGCCGGTCCAGAACTCGTATGGGCCGTGCGGCCGCACGGTGGAACCTTCAGCAGCCAATAACCAGGTTGCTACTCTGCCTGCATCATCACTGATCTTACCCAGTATGTTCGTTGTAGGACACTCGGGAGTTTTTCCAGTTGAATCTGCAGGCTGCCGAAAGCTGGGCCATGCGGCCTGCATTTCGAAGTGCGGCTTAGACCCTGCCCCATCTTCCAAGTACTCTTCCATCACACAAGCATCGCCCGCCCAAGCCCTCATCCAGGCACTTGTGCTCTAGTCGCGAGGGGGGTCGTGGCGTGCTTCCGAAAGACCGGGGGAGTTGCTATGTTGGCACAGCGCACTCGATGTCTTCTCAGGCGCTCATGCCGAGCGATCTACTCACTGACTGCTGGCAATACATGGAAAGTGTCTAGGTGCGGGCAGTTTGCAGAAATGGTTGCATTCAGTTTTAAGTAAAGGGATCGAAGCAGAAATACCCCAAAACACCGCTGCGCTTCCTCGCAATATGTATGTGCAGCATTGAGTCTGCAGAGAACAGAACACTTGTTGCCGTAAGCCCGCTGCTGCCGCCTTCCACGTATTCTCCAATCCTTGTCTGAGCATCCAGTCATTTCACTGATCGAGGTGCGCACTGATCACCCGCTGGCTTTGCATCAAGGAGCAGTAGGTTGGATGCACTTGCAAAAGCCTTTTCCCACGAGAAGCCGATCATAAAACCATAGCTCCTTGGCGGTCATTGGTGCAAAATGTCTTTGCGGTCTTGGCTTTTTCCAAGGCCAGCACGTCACCAAACTGTCTGCCAAAGGCTCGGAAATGACACCTGAGCAGGGAGTGGGTCTCTGAACTCGCGACCTGGTCATGTGCAAATGTGCCTGTGTCCGCCATCCTGTCAGCGGCAATCACCAGCCTCAGCTGGTTAAATCCGCTTCGCTGCCAGCGCAATCAAGACGAACACAAATGCCGTGTGAGCTGCAGCCCCGCCATGGGTGTCATGGCGAACGCGGTGAGAATTAGAATGCAATTGTCCTTGGCGACAGTCAAGGAACAGAATCTCATGCAGCGAAACGAGGTTTGACACTCCAGTGGTCTGCAGTTTAAAATTTTACATGACCGACATGAGCGGAGCCAGAACACAAAGAACGAAACTGGCGACTGACGAATGTTTTCTGAGCGCTGCTTGCATGCTGTTGTAGCGTGGCTTCGTTGTTATGCAAAACGAATCGTCACCGTGTGAAGCATAGGCCTCAAGTGATACACACACACACACACATGCTTGCCCCAATTCAAAGCAGACCCTCAGCGTGCAAACGTCCCAAGTCGCATCCTGTCCAAACCACGGCCCAATTGACCCGCCACGCCCCAAATAACTGCGCTGTCAACCTGCAAGGAAGGCCTGACGAGGATCTTCCGAGATGGGTATCATGATCACGCAGCGGACGAACCGCATGGAAGACCAAGCCATGCCTCAGGGGCGACTCTGATGAAAAGACAGCTCTTCGGGCAGCCTTGGAAATGCCAAGGGGCACATAGACAGGAATGTCGAGACAGTGTGAAAGCGGTGCAGGCCTGCCAGGCAATCTTTTCGATCGCCGGTAGTGGTGATTAGTTTCGCATAGTTTCGCGCTTCTCTCTTTTTCTGTCTATTTGTCTCTGTGGTGCCATCCCCAACGTTCTCGCTACGCAAAGGAACGCAATGGCTGGCTAGAAAAATGGGTTACAAACAACTATCGTTTTCCGCAAGTGGAAAAAGAACACACACTGGCGCTGACACAGGTATCTCTATCTCTCTCTCTCTCCCGGGCACGAAGGCCGATCAAAGCCAAAGGGCATCATGCCCACCCGATGTGTCATCGGGTAAAGGGGAGGGAAAATCGGGTGTAGGTCATTGCAAGACTAAAGCCATAAAGACTACGATATCGAAAGCGCATAACCGTACACTCTCGCAGAAAACATGCGTTAAGTCAGTAGCTTTTCCCCCGATGTGAGCAAACAACTCTCTGGTACAGTTTCATAAATGGCATTTAAGGGGAAGAACTGACCGCTGGTTTCACACATGGACGAATTTCGAACTGCAGGGCGCAAGCACAATTTGAAGCAACACCCAGATCAAAGCTTTGACGGACAGGCAAAAGAAGTGTACGACCCTGTATGTAATTGTAAACCTGCTCTGCCTAATCAATCATGTGAAAAATATGACATCCCCCGAAGGAGCTAAGCACAGGGTGCTCGGGTCGGAACATCTTCTCCGTGCGTTTGAGAGAAGGTCCTGTTCCCTACGGGTTGGCAAGGACTTACAGGCACCGTTTAAAAAGTTTGTGGAGAGAAGGTTCTGCTCCCTACGGGTAGGCGGGGACCTACACGTACCGTTGAAAGCTTTGCGGCCCCAGTGTAGAACATTGTGCAACTAGGAATGGGGGATCCCCCGTTTGAGGCAACAGCCGAAGAAAAAAACCCGCAAGCAGTTACCAGTCAAGCTTCAACAAGCGCGAAGCCAACTCACGACAAAAAAGCATGCAGGTGGAGGCTTTCACGACCCGCTCAGTACGACTTCACGAATCCACCGTCGCCAAGGTTTGTGGTGCCTTTTCCACCAGCCAGCTGCATCTGCCATCGTGCTCTGCCTTCTTTTCGTCAAAGGGTATCCCGACCCCTGAGTTTTTACACTCCCCCGCCCAGCAAAGTTGAAGTACTGAAGGAGAAAATGGGGCACGCCAGGGTCCCCCGCGATGCTGAAGCGGAGTATCTCGCAAACCGCAGGAAGGTTGAAGGCGAAGATCTTGTTGTCCTCGTATATACTCTTTGGCCACCAAAGCCACAAGCTCTTGTACCGTCTTCCGGCGGCACTTAAGCACATGAAGGCCCCTCACCAGGACGTTTTCGCCTCTATCTGCAGACTGTATCTGTCACAGGCAGCATGCCCTAGTCGGTCCCCGGCCCCGGGGTCCCTTTGCCAGCTGCCTCCTCTGTGACGCTCGTTGCGACCGTTTTTCCTGCAGGGCCCGTCTCCAAAGACCCACTTGGAAACACTTAGCGATGGTGAGCATGGTTTCGTAGACTGTTCGGCCCTTGTCTCCGCATGTGTCGTCTTCGTCTTGGTTGTCTCTGCCTCCTGCTGGACTGCCCGGGAAGCGCCCCACGTCCCACCTGGATTTGCAGTTCATCCTCAAGTGCCGATGATCGGCAGGTGAGTTGGGGAAGGTGCATGATGGTCTGTGCAACCAACGAAGTGCCGGCTGCCAGTCTGACAGCTTTCTAACCCCATCAGAGAGAACGATGTGAAGAGACGCTGGAGGGGGCGTCAGCCTTCGAAACTTGAAACTACAATTAGCCTTGACTTGATAGGGGTCATCGTGATTGTCGCGGGCCGGCCCACCGCCAATTGAAACCGGGTGGCAATCAGCGGTGCTGTTCAGAGGACGAGGGCACGGATCCAGGCGGTGCGACCAAAAAAAAGGAGAGATCGGGGACCATGCGCTGGCCTGGCCCGAGACGCAGATGATAAACACCTCAGCCTACGACAGGAATGTGGATAACTGCAGCACATGAACCGCCAAAACCGGAGAGAAGCCACGACCGAGATGTCCCATGTGTGAAACTGACCAGTTGCGCTTGAACCTCGCACTCGTGCCGTGCACTGGTCTTTGTGCTTGGAGTGTCAGTGAGACTACGTACTGAGATGAGGCGAGGGTGGTGTACCGTGGTGACCGCTCTTGCTTGCTTGCTTAGGGGTATGGGCTCCCAGGGCAACCCTGGCTCTGGTGACCGCTCTCCCCCTCTCTTTCTTTGCTTTGCTTTGCTCGGGGCTTGGGGCGGGAGCAGTCATCCCGTCCCGCGCGGGTGCGCTGCCCCATCCATTATTTGGAATGGATGGGCTCGGTTACAAGAAGGACTGTGTGCCCCTGTTCTTCAGGGGGAGTGTGGCTGGGTTCCCTTCCCAAGTACGAACAACTTGTTGAAGGTTGAGTCACGGCTGTAAAGCAAAAGGAAGGGTGCCCCCGAACAAAAGGGTGTGCGCAAGAGGGAAAAAACATGCCTGAATTATCGGCCATGCAGGTGTTGTGCATGCCACTGGCACTCCATTCTGTGGTGTGAAGAAGGTCGAGCAGGTGCCCCTCAGCACAAGTTAAATTAGAAAGAAGGTATGTGGCTTCAGAAAAACGCGTGTTCTTTGCTCACCAGCTGCAGAAGGATGGTTCACGGATCCGGGATTCCCGGTGTTTGCAAAGGTCAAAGGTAGCATCACCTCAAAACTGTGTAGCCGCCGTCCTTGTTGGGCAGGTGCCTCTACCTCTCAAGCTTCTTGTCTGGCACCTTCGCTGGTTTGCGGGTTGCTGCTTCAGCAGCGTCGTCGTCGTCCTCTGGTTTTGAGTCGTCGTCAGCCAGTCAGCCGTAGGTGTCCTTTGCATTCGTGGTGTCCCTGCCACTAT